ACCCCATCCATCCTTTTGCGTCCCCCTCCCCCCCCAAATCTATTGAAACACTTTAATAGTTAGTTGATTGCTCTACAACCTTTTTTTTTTTTTTTGTTATTCATCGTTCGTTTCCCTGCAAGAGTCATCGTCGACCACCGCATCAGCTTGGTTCTCAGTCTTCTCTCTCTCTCTCTCTCTCTGTCTCTCTCCATTCTCCACTTGGAGCTCCCCTCAGCCGCCCGCGAGTTGCGCCCCGCAAGCCGTCCCCGTTTCATCACCAACTATCGAACATGGGGCCCCTCAAACATGAGATGTCATCCCACTAAAGGAGAAATCAATCGAAAGTAGAAAATAAAATAAAAAATAAAACAAAGCGTAAAACAATGGCAAAGCAAACATGTTGGTGGCTCGCTTCCACTGCAGCATCCGTCCTAACAGATTGAGATGTTGTTGCTTCCTCGCAACTTTGTTTCCCTTGTCAACCCCCGGACAAGCCCTCCCCTCTCTTCCTCCCCTTGTCGGGCCATCTCGCCATTCTCCATATCTCGTCTGCATGTCTCTATCTATTTATTTTATGGTCTCTTATACCCATGGCCACGTACAGACACACGCAACCCTTCTGCCCTATCAGTACAGACGTAAGTAGCACTGGGTAAACCTGATGGTTAGTCGAGCCCCATGCCCCCGCTTCTCGTCGGACTCGAGCCAATAGAAAATAAGAATACACGAGGCGGAGACAAAAAGTTGGCGCGTGGGGTGGCTGCCTCGGTCCCCACTTCAATTTTTCCAAACGGGGAAAAAACAGATTGCGACTGTTATTTACTAGATTTACACCCCCATCCCGTTCCGCTGTCTAGAACCGTAGCTATCTCCGGTTGGCGCACGCGCACCAAAGAGTCACATCTTTTTTGTTTCTATTTTTGCGCTGGCACTGAATCAAAGTCTCTTTTTTTCTTCTCATCTTTTTTTTTTTTTCAAACTTGCGCAATTTCTTGTTTCATCTTGTTCCATCGTTTCACCGCATGCGAATCTAAATAAACAAAATTGGTAGTCGTCTCTTTTTCTTCCCTCCCCCGTCTTGGCATTATCAACGAACCAACAGAGCCAAAGTGACATGGGAAATTAAATTCCCGCCTTCGCGCGACACACACCAAAAATGTGGAGAAAAAGAAACAAGTCACACCGATGCATGTGCACCCCATGAGCCAACCTATTGCTTATGCTTTATTCTATCTTCATTTTATTTCTTCGCTTTGGCTTCGTCATTGGCCGCTAATAATTGGCCTTACGCCCGGTGACCTGCGACAACCCAGCCCTGTCCATATCCACCGCACCCTTTTTTCCCCTCTCTTCGTCCCACACTTTTATCAAGCATCAAATGTACGGATTATTCGTTTTTTACCGCTTTGAGTAAATGGCACGAATAGGGACCAGGGACAAATCGCATCTCTCAAATACCATGACGCCTTTATTAACTGGTAGAAGAAAAAAGAGCAGAAAAAGCCCGAACGTTGTTAGTGTCCCCGCCCCCACCTCCTCCCGCGACAAAACACTCCCCCACCACCAACACGTCCTCCGTTCAACGACCCCAAGTCCTGCCTAGCCAACTCTATTTCGGCGAAAAAGAGCGTTTAAAAGATGCCGCAACAACATTCCCGAGCTTCCCATTGGCTGCTGCTTCGTCTGCTCTACCCCTCCCCACCCACTCCCCATGTTCCGCCGCAACTCCAATCTCGTCTGCTCCGCCCCCATGCCCTTTGCTTTGTAGGGGTAGGTTAGGAAGAGGGGGGAACAGAAAAAAGCGAGCGCTTGCTTAATTTTGATGCCGTATTGTTGGTTACAACTACTTGCCAAAAAAGCTGATAAATCATTAAAAAAATGTAGGGTGGGTTGAGTGTACATGAATTATTTCATCTCATATCAGACCAGCCTGCCGCTAGAAAATGGCAGTTGAGAAGTGAGCTGCCTTCGGAAAACCGTTTGCAGTCCCCACATGGTTAGTTGGTTCAATATTCGGCCTGCTGCCTTTGCGGAGCAACGAACCATCAATCACGGAATGGCTTTACTCCGAAACGCCCTGCTCGGCTGCTGTAGGCCCCCCTCACCCCTCATCATCATCATCATCATCATCATCAGTCTGCCCGCCACATCGACACTCCCCCCTCTCTGCTTTTCTCCGTCCTCTTCTCCGTCCTGCATTACATCTCTGTAGGGCCGTCTCGCACGCGTGCGCCGGGGGAGGAGGGGGGCGCAGACCGGCCAACAAGGAAATCAGCCCTTTACTCTACCTACACGTATCCGGAGGGACTTTTGCGCAGCCCTTTCTTCTCCTTTGTCATCTGCTTCGTCATCAGATACGCCCTATACCCTCCCCCCCTCCACCCCTTTCGCTCTCGCCCGTGAAAGGATTGCCATGTTTGTCTCGCCGGGGTCTGCTCTAGTATAATAGCTTCATACACATGACTGAACCAACCAACGTAAAAAACCGTGACTATCAGTTCTGGAACGCCCACCACACGGTCCCGGCTCCAGACACACCACCACCATCTCATCCTCCATCGGTGTGTCATCACCATGCTCTGCTCGCCCCAAATCTCTCAGCTGCGAGTCCAGAAAAGGAAAACGAGCTCGAGACGTAACCACACAACTCATCTTATACGCAAGCTGTCACCGTCACATCCTCATCCGCTTCTGTACAAACCTGCCGCTCTTGCAAATAGACTAGCTTTGCCTCAGCTCAAAATACCGCTTGTCTTATTTCACGAGCTTTCTCAACACTTAGCGTCGGCGCGGGCTTGCTCAAAAGCCCGCTCGCTGCGCTTGCACTCCTCATGACCTCGTAAAACTCGTTTAGGATCTTGCCTGACGTTTGCCCTGCGCAGAACTGTTGGGGCTCGTCCACTGTCCGTTGACCCCATCATCCAGTTGACTCTCGTCGTTTGAAGATCCCCCATGGAATCGTCCAATTAGTTCCTCTACCCCCATCGACATATCGTTTTAAGAGTCAGCCGCTCCCAGTTAGCCATCTTGACATGATGGGTGTTATCACTGTTGGGCAATCCCGTCTATGGTGCTCGGGCGGGACTTCCTCCGAGAGATACCATCTAGGCAGAATCTATTCACCACCGTCCCCTCGCAAACGGTCAAATGGGTGGTATTCGCGCTTATAATGAGACCAGTTACTGCAGGCTCGGCAAGGGTTCCTTACATATGCAGTCGTCCCGGCTCAAGTCATAGTCAAGGCTGCATCTACATGTCATGGTTCCTGTCAGCTTCGTTTCTAGCATATCACACATGCAGGTTCTCGCGGACAACACACGTTCGTAGACTTATGAGAGAATGATGGTTCAATTCATTTAATCGGCTGGCTCCTCCAATCTGTTAGCCCGTCAGAAATTACCAGTTCCAATTCCGTACCCATGTGCCCTGATCTGAGGACCGTCAGGCTGTAGTGCGAGTTCGTCCGGTAGCCGCAAGTAAATCCTCTGCCATTATCCGGGCCCCCCTCCGATGCCCATGGCAATCTCGCCAGCCTTGCGCTATTTCTCGACCATAGCAGCCCCCAAATGTATAGTGCATCCCTTCGCCACATCTCTCAGCTAGGCTTCGGCAGAAGCCCTAGAAATGTGATCCCTGTACTTGGTGTGATACTCTGCTTCTTGTCGGTACTTGATCCCCTAGTATGCTGCTTTGGCCATTAAAGTGGTGAATATATGCAAAATGAAATCCAGACAATGCTGTTCAACGCAAACCCATATCCAGCCGTCTTCATTATATAGTATCCAAAATTCGACAATCCCCAATCTTCCTCTGGCTCGTTTATCCTAGCTCATTAATCATTATACATTCAGTTTGTACATGCAGCGTCGATGAACTGCGCGAGCGGATCCCATCCGCGCCATGTCCCTCCGCAATGGTTTGCCGCATCTGTGGCCTTAGCGATTGCCTGCAGTCCATTGACTGTCGGCTCGTTTTCGAGGATTATAATCGTCATAATCTGACCTCCGACGTTTGAACGGCACTCCACTGCTTGTAGTTGTGCTTCTTACGCTAGCGGTGGTGCTCATTTGATCCATTCGTCGACGACTGTCAACCTTTGCCTCGTCCTCCAAAAATCGCCACTGTGTTTTGTCCTTCTTGTCGAGACCGTTCTTGCCAAATAAGTGATTGTCAATGTGATCGAATCGTCGACTTTGATGTGTGCCGTTGCCGTCTTCCTGGGCCATTACATCTTCAATTTCAACAACCCGCCGGCAGAAACCACACCAAAACTTTGCGTCACTTGGCCTTCCGATTCGGCAGCTCTGCACCCTCGAGTGAAGGTCTTCTCCGTAAAACATGTCATGTGCTCCGCCAAGATGCTGGATAAATGCAAAGCGGCTCTCACATATGGCAATGCAGCCATCCTCACTGCACGCCCAGGCATCGATAGATTCATGCTGATTGCATTCGTGTCGTTTCCAGTCGTTCTTGCTTCCAAAGCTTTTGCCGCAACCGTTTACTGTGCAGCCATAAGGCCGGTCATGCCTCTTCATGTGCTTCCTAAATGCTTGGTTAGTAGTTGTCGCAGCCCGGCGCGAATGCGCCCACACGTACTATGGCTCACTTAAGCTCACAAGCTCGTTTGCAGACCTTGCCGCACTGGCTGCATTGATGGCGGGCTTTGGTGCCAGACATTTCCGTCTCGTTGGAGCTGCAAGAGCTCTGAGTTTTTGACTTGAGAGCTTGTTCTAGAAGCTCTATCGGAAACGTACCCAGGTGGTCCACGAGCTGAGATGTAGTCCAGCCCGCTTTGACCAAAGCAGCATGAGACGATGCATCTATCTTCTGGCCAGTCGCCTGGGAACTTGACACAGTCGCCGGGGCAGCGCTGACGCTAAACACACTGCTGGCTCGGGGTGAGTGCACCGGTTGAGTCTCGTCCACGATACTGAAACCCTGGCTTGGTGGCCCCTGCTGAGCTGCGACCTGGTAGCCATGATTGTGAGCCATTGGCGAGACAAAGATGTCACTGTTAGCGATCGACATCGTTTGCGCCGTGAATGGTGAGTTGCCAAAGCCTTGTGGCTGGTTTCCCTGCAGCGAGTACGCACTCTCCGCGCCAAAGCTCAAGCTAGCTTGCGCCGACAGGTTTTGGAAAGGTTGATGCTGCGAAGCCGCATGTGGATGTACATCCTGTTGGAAAAAGCACGAACCGTCCGGCATGGTTGTCATTGGTTGCTGTCTCTGATAGGGCGATTGGTCTACGTCCATCAGCGTTGGTGCCTCGCCGACCTGGCTACTTGAACCTGGCAGGTTTGCATCGACGCTGGGAGAGGCCAGGACTTCGGATGGTGTGGCATCGCTCGAAGGTGCAGTGTTTTCGATGAGAGGGTCCAGTCTACATTACGGATCAGAAGGTGATTGATGGCTTTTTCGAACGATTACACTTACTTGACGCGGTATTTGGCGTCTGTCTCTTCGAGTGAAACCCTCATATGGTGTACCTTGAACATGTGAGTGCGGAAGTTGTCTTTTCGGGTCCACTGCTTTGGTTTAGAGACCCTCGTACAGTCGGAGTGCGGACACCTCCAGACGAATAGGGCCTCTTGATGGACAGACTGTTTGTGTCTTTGCAAATCATTGGGTGTGCCGAATCCCTCCTTGGACTTGCTACAGTTGGGGTAATCGCAACGGTGAGGGCGCGAATGGGCATGCTCGTGTTTTCTAGGCGTCAACGTTAGAAACGCGGAGAAGGTTTCAATGTAGCCCGTCAATGCCTACTTGAGATTGGACTTGTTCGTGCAGACTTTAGGGCAATGTGGGCATTTGAGGGAGCCGGCGGGATGGCCGGCTCCAGCTGTCGTCGACGAAAAGGTACTTGTGGCATCTGTTGCGTTATCGCGCATGGAGGGCATGTGCGGACCCGTGTTGTCCATCTGAAAGCCACCGAGCATGTGCTGCATCTGTGCCGCACCGACTGCTTCGGGGCCAGGGCCAGCCAGGGAAGCAATGTCGTCGAGATACTGAAAGCGAGCATCCCCCGGAGTCGATTCAAAAGCTGTCCCATCCTCTGACAGAATAGGCATGTCCCTATAGTCCAAGAAGGGGTTCCATGAACTTTGGGCGGGGGTACGAGGCTGCCGCTGGCCGACGAGCGGGATCCATGGACCGCAGTGCGGCTCTTGGATTATCTCGTTGATGAAGGGATCGTCAGCCCATGCAGAAGCGTGCACTGGCTGGAGGCTCATGTTGTCGGTAGCGGGCGACCACTCTGGGGTGACGGATTCATCTTGCGGATTCTCCATACTTGCATGCACTCGTTCAGGTGTAGGGCGCGGCAGCGCGGCAGCGTCAAGCGCAGCGCTCTGGGTCTGGGTCTAGTATATACTGGATAAAGCTATAGCAGGCGAGCATGGGAGCGCGCCTGGCAATAGTGTTTCTGCGGTGGCGTGGAAGAGGTAGCGTGCCAAATGTCAGGAATATATGAGGGGCGGAAATGGGACGCCAGGCAGCAACGGGATTGGGCGGTGATGGCGGGTCTTGGTGTTGCGTCAAGTACAACCGCGGGTGAAGAGGGAACAGGACAGCGAAAGGCGAGTGTTTGTTGAAGACGGCTAGATGTTGTTTGAGACTCGATGTTATTGAAGACGTTTGCTGGTAAAAAGAAAAAATGAGGGAGTAGGTAGGGAAAAAACCACAGACAGAGATGGAGATAATGTGCAGCAGCCCCAACTATTTATTATAAAGAAAACGGGCGGCGGACCGACAAGGAGACGTTTGTGGTTGGCAGCTGGCAAAGTTGTCCGCCGCTTTTGCGACAGCGCATCACAGCTCCTTTTTAGCGTCGCACTGGACTGAGCCTGACCAGGCGAACCGGAGACGCGAGCAGATATTCAGACACGCGAATCGCCAGAGCTGGGCGCAGCCGGAGAGGTGCAGCACTGCCACCATGCAGGCGGCAATAATGAGGGAGAAGCCATCGTGGTGCTTTTGGCGAGGACTTATTCACCGTCACTTCCCGGATCTGTCCGTCCAAGGACTCATCACGGACAAAGTAGTGCTCGCCGTGTCCCCCACACAAGTAGTACCCAGGTAGGTAGTTACATTGTACCATCAAGAGCGGCCCAAGGCTGTGGACATGTGTCGCATCACCGTTGGGTCCAGACCGTTTCCGAATTGGCTCCAATGTAGGAAGCCCGATTTGACCAGATCCCAAGAAGAATGCACGAGATGTGGCAGCAAGGCGATTTGCTGGGTGCAGGCCCCAGGGACAAGAGGGATTGCAGCTCCCCATCGAACCTGCTCAGGTACCCAGGTAGGTACCAGTCCAGTGCCTGCGTATAGGTAGGGGAGCCTTATCGGTTGCCGCATGCACACTCTCTATCAGAAGCCACGCCACGTTTTCTCTTCATCGACAAGCTATTTGATTCTCGCATTTAGCGAACTATCCTGCTGACCATTCCTGAAAATGTCGCTCTCAACCTCTTGCTGTAGCACGACCTTGGTTCCGGTACCGCGACGGTGCCCACCGCGCCTCTGTTCCCCGTGGGGCTAGATCTAGTGCCTAAAAGCGGCGCTGCTTTTGATTCGACCTTTTTGCAGCAGCCACAACATCTTTTTCCCGCGCCGCATGTTTCTGGCTTGCATAGTGGTAGGTTTTTGCCATGATGGCATTTGTGGCAGCTATGGCTGAGGACATTCTTGGTAAGCTGCGCTGGCAATCCTCAAGTTTTTGGACTTGATCGGACAGTGATGCGCTGTCAATATTCATGTCGTGCAACTTGACTGCCTTGCCGACGGTGTCAGTGTGCAGCACGCATTTGGCTGGCCGAGGTTCCAATCGAGAAGCACCAAAAAGCTTGAATGAAAATTGGTCAAAGTTACAGAAATGCTCAATTACCCAATTCATTCTCTACCTTGAGCCAATCAAGGATATCTTCCCTTTCCGCGCTCGCTGCGTTCTCTGCTGCGCGGGAATAATGAATAATGCGAACCACAAGGCAACCCACAAGGCAACCAACTGAAGCCGCTACAGTGAGTGGATTCCAGGTATTTCGTAGCAAACCACTACCAAAATCCCCATACTTTGCTGATTGGGAGTACCGGGAGCCACCAGGGGCCACTGTATTGGGCGAAGACCGGGCCGCGCAACGGGCCGCCTGCAACCACTGGGCCGGGCTCAGCCTGCCTGTGCCCGATACTGGATTAGCATCACACGTGTTTCGACCAATCTTGGTTTCAAATAATGAGAGCAATGTGAACAAAAGTCGTTCAATTGCGCAATGATGAAGCATTCATAGACTATATTCAATTATCTGTTGATAACGGCCATGTCCGAAGCCGATGAAGGCGCAGTTTGCACAGCCCGCAACTGTTTCGACCCGACAATGACGCATTTGTCTTTTGCAATTTTGACATGAACGCGGTTCTCGCTCGCATCTCTCTCAACCGGCAAAAAGAAGGGGTAAACCTGTCAGAATTCGGGAGAAAAACGCCCTTTCTACTTCCTCTGCAGACCTCTCTCACTATACCCCACCCACGGTTTTGTAGCATCAATCGCCAAGACTCCTCGTCATCATGGACATGGGGTCTCGCTCTGTCAATTTTCTGATCAAAAATTCAATATTGAGTTCGCGGGCTCGATTGACTATCGTTTTCGTATCTAGGCCGCCGACACCGGTCTGACGTCATTGAATCACGAGAATACTCTATCGCGACGACGTGGCACTCCAACGAGAACGCCACTATCGAGCATCATTCACATAATTGACAGCAATCAATTGCGACAAGTCAGCGCGGTAAACTTCGGGATCGTGTCAGAAGTCGTCTTCCAGGCGCACCAGTAGTGACATTACGTAGCACCAATGTCCGCTCACGTCAAGCCACATGCGACGACAAGAAGCACCCATCAGTCATTAGAAAGAAAGGTACCTCACCACCTCACCAAAACTCACAGATGTGTACTAGTAGCTAGTGTGCGAGATTCAAGCCTACACTTGCCAGGGTCTCTTGCCCACTTGTCAAATGCAGAGTCGACACATCGAGCAGGTGGCTGAGCCAGCGGGCCAGTTCGATGGGATGTGCAGATGCCCGTCAGGCTGACGAGCTCTATCGTGCTGCAAAATCCGGATGTTACATGCCAGCGAAGCAGGCGGTGGCCTCTCGGGGTTCATTACCTTTCCCACTGCGCAATCTCGCCCCTTCCCTCTTCCCACCATCGACTGGTGCACTTGACCTGGGAAAAAGTGATCATGCCACCAGAGACTTGCATACCAGTTCCTGTTTCCTCCTTCACTCTAGACTCTGGTCCTTGAGCGCTGCATCGAGCCGCTTTCGTCAAAACACATCAGTTGGGTTATGTCTCACCGATTCGTGGTGGACGTGCAGGCTTCCATGTCCACGTCACCCACTCCATTCAATAATTGAGTTGTTGAGCCAGTGCCAGCCATGATTTCGATGCGCATATATTCGTATCGCGATGCAGAGAGTACACCCTTGCCTTGATGACAGGCCATCCTCGGTCCCCAGAAAGGTAAGCCCCCAATCCCCTGAACCCCTGACCCCCGGGGGACGGCGATCTTCGGTCGCCAACATTACAGGTCGTTTTTCTTCCCCAGAAAAGTATTCTCCGGCGCTCCGCAAATCGTCAGCCCTGGCACTGTTCTTCAACCCCAAATCATCAATGTCCCGCTCAGGCAAATGATCTGATCTCGTCTGCACATGTTTCACGTCAGGGGTACCCCGTTCCTCAATGTAACCTTGTATTCTTCCTTCACTGCATGGCTTGTAGGATTTGAAATACACGCATCGTCACCCCAGAATGATTGGCGTGCTGGACGTAGCCTCTTCAGGATCCAATCAACCCACCCCATTGTAGGCAGACGAATCAGAGCGCTCTACCCCACGACAATGTTGTTCAGATGCAACCGAATCGACCACCAGGGATGCTGACTTGTTCCCCGGGCCACGATCTAGACTAACGGCCCCCCTGTACTACCATCCGGAAGCTGGTGCGCTCTACATCCGAGACAGCATCGTCACAGCCCTGCGTCGAAAATCATGGCCTGGGCCGCAGTGACGCCCTCTGCATTGTATTGTTCTTTTCTTCCTCTATTGCGCACTGCGGTTGCAATCACCGTGCGCTCGCTGTTCATGTTCACTGCATTATCGGCATCTTGGCTCTACGACCCAGTTTGGGATCTGGGCCTGCCGGCAGTTGCTACGCCGCGTTGTCGCAGAGTCACGTACCTGTCGAAAGTGTTCGCGTCGCACTCAACGTCGGAAATCTCCCGGAAGGGTATCACAGCATAGATGAATCGACTCGAACGCTTTGATACACTGCATGCACCGGGTCGCTGGGACGAAAGAAAAAGCGAGTCTTGTCCGTAGCAGCAGCAGCAGGCCAACGGTGTCTTGGTTCATTCCTAAGGATTCGGAGGCCGATGCTCGATTCTTTGTCTATCCTTTTTACGTATGATATTTTGATAACATTATTTTCCAATTTCTCTTAGGCTTGTCACCCCGCATCGGCAGTTCCTGCCCTTCCGCACGCCCACTCTGGTTAGTTGAATGCAATAGCGAGGACTGCATCAAGCACGCTCAATCCCTTTGGGCTGTTGTAAGTATCTTAGGCGCTGAATAAGTATTTGTATGGCAATAATAAGACGACCTGAAGGTGTCTTGGTTGCACATAGAGGCAATGCAAGTGTCATACTGTGTCTCATCCCCTTCGGCTGTGGTGGCTACCTCAGGCAAGAATGCCATCTCGATCATTGACCAGAGGGCTTTCCTTTGGCTGATCGAGTACAGTGGAGAGATGTTTGAAGTGAGCTTATCACAGGAGATATGTACGCGGATGGAGTCGTCCCTGGCTCGCCTCTATCAAGACGTGGGAGTGAACACTACCATTTGCCATACAATGGAGTTAGGAGCCCCCATGTCAAGTATAAGAGGCTCAAAGCCATCTCAAACACAAATCTACACTTTCAATTCTTTATATGTCGAGTGATTACTTTCTTACAGCATCTCAATCAGTTCTTGCTTCTCAGTTTTGCAGTGCACTATTACTTTTGCTTCTTTGGCGCATAAGACTACACAACTCTAGGCAACCGCATCACGGCTAGCAGGTCTCAAATTCTGCACTAGTTCAGATAGTGTAACCTCACACACAATTCCTGTCAGTCATGTGCGACTTTGAAGAATACATCTTCACCTGTGGCCACAATGCCCTCAGCCTACAAGCCTACTGTCACCAGTCGCGCAACCATCCGCGACACGAGTGTCACAATGTCAAGCGTTTGCGCAACAGCTGGTACCAGGAGCGCGTTTGCAACGCATGCGCAGCTGCTATAAACGGCAATGCCTCCGGAAACGGCAGCGCGGGCCCTGACAGCCACCGCAAGGACCCTCGCGGCCCATTTGTTCGTGAGACTGGAGAGTATCACTGGCAAGGAAGTTAACTGCACCCCACCCCTCAATGCAGGCTCGGGATACAATTTTGGGGTTCCAACGCACTCAAGTGGTGTCCCGAATTCAACTCGGAACTGTTCTCGGTTGTTATCGAGGTGAAGGAGCGTCTTCTACATGTTGACAGTTGGAGGAGCACATGGATGAGAACAACCAGAAAATGCACTTCACTGAGGCTCATACTGCAGTGGCCCTAGTTCTCTAATTCTTCTTCAGCTCTCAATTTTGTTTCTTCTGGGCTTGCGTATGTACAAATTGCAGGCCCATTTGCTCCCCAACTGAATATCGTTACCCTAACACCTTTGACGTTTACTGCTACCCCATCTTGTATGACTCTGCATTCCAAAGGAAGGGGCATCATTCGCGTCGAGGTAGGCGCGGAGATGTTGAGACGGTTGCTGCCATGTAGGGGTGTGCTGCGTTCAGCTACGGGTTCTGGACGCCAAGCATTACACGAGCTCGGTACTCATGATTTCTCGGACTGTTTTCCCCCTTGGCGTTTATCATAAAAAGATCAAGCACGAGAGATGGTAAAATTTGGCACACGTAAAAGGCAAGTGGGAAAGGCCCGTATCTTTGTATATTTCACGATACTCCCCTTCACACTGCAGACCAATGCGGGCATATTCAAGACTGTAACACAACGGACAAGAGAGTGCAGTTCCCCTCGCCATCCAGGTTCATAGTCTCTATCTGCGCTATAGAAAGCGCCACCCCTTCACAGCCTGCTCCCGAATTCCTAGTCCATATTCGTAGCACCGGCGACGACGCCGACAATGTTGTAGCGCTTGGAGAAGAAGGTGATCCAGTCATCGAGAACGCCCTTTTCTTTTTCGCTCAGTGTTGACCAGTCAGCAACAACATCTTCGGGTTTTGTTGAGGTCATGCCAAGGGCGCGAGAGGCGTCCTTGCCGGTGAAGACTGCAGTGGTGAGTGAGAATGTGTCAGCGAGCTGTACGAACCATATCGGGCCAGTTCAAATCGGATTTGAATTCGGTACGTTGTTATAGCAGGAATTTTCATTTTGAGGGGGACTTTGGAGCACGCCTGCAGCTTGCAGGTAGAGTTACTTACCGTGGTAGGCCTTGCCAGGCAGATACGAGGAATTACCAGTTACATCGTAGACTTTGCCCTATACTCAATGTATAAGATTTTGAATGAAGGTCTTTTTTTGGAAATAGAAGCATACCTTGATGGCGACATAGATCTTGTCGCTATCGACACCTATGAGAGCGCCTCAATTAGCAACTGCCCCTCCGTGGATGAGTAGTGGTTCAGCCTCGCCGGCTCTAAAAATTCCAGAAACGTGAAAGAAATTCTCCTATGTTTCAAGGTTTTTTCGTTGATTCTCCCATCCTAACACCTGGCCGGCTTCGCCCGTCTCGCGGCAAAGATACCGGTTATCGCGGGGCTTGTCTCATGACGTACCGTTGCACTTGGCCAGCTCCTCCAAGGTAATGGGGTCATCTTTTGGGGGGTTGAGCTGCACAGGCTCTTTGGGTTCGAATTTTCCGGCCATTTTGCGAAATGTGAGCTTCTACAAACGTGCTGCACTGTGTTTTGTATAATTTGAGCTCGTGATGATGGCATCGCCAAGCCGAGGGAGCTTCCCCCACCATTTAGTCCTCGGCCCGCAATTTTTGGGTGGTTGCGCACAGGCCAACCAATCCGAACTCGTCAGCTTGCTAGCCAGCCGTCATTCTTTTCTTGGTGCAAAAAAAAGAACCAAGCTTTACCATCAAGCCCATTGGCTAGAGAAACGCGCGCCCAGCTATAGAACCAAGGAGGTGTATCCGTCAACATGTCTGCATTTGCAGTCGCGTCCATGCGACGAACTCCAGGGCAATGTCTGCAGCGTACAACGGCTGGGCTGCCATCAGTCCACATCGCACCGGGGAGGTCGAGTGCCCGTTTTCGCGCCGTCGCTTCGCTGCCGTCGCCGCGTCAAAGATATCAATCGACAAAGGGAGGGGACGGATCACAGAACAATACACCACAACAGAACAAGCCGCAAAAGGTGACCTTTCGCCAATTCGCTGGGCGCGCCCTGGGCGCCGGACTGAGAAACCTCACGTTCGCTCTGAGTCCGAAGGGTATTAAGCAGGCATACAAGGACTCACCTGGATCAACCTCTTTCGCTGTCATTCTGTGAGTCCCCCTTAGCTGCTGCACGGAATAGAGCACCGGACTTGGCTAATTGCAGCTCACAGGCTTCTCATCACTGCCGGAATCAGCGCCGTTGCGCTGAGAAGGTTCTACAACCACTTCTACAACAATAAATTGAGCAGATACCCCGAACCCGTTGCCAACACCCTCAGACAAGCAATATACTACAGCAATTACGCTCCCGATCCCGAGCGCGCTCTCAAATTCTACAAAAAGGCAATGCAGCAGTGCGCCGAGATCGGGCTGGACCCGTTCTCGGACGAAGTGCTCGGCATTCGCATCCAGGTGTCTGCCTGGCTTCAACAGCTAGAAAACTACACCTCGAGCGGCGAGGTGCTCGAATCGGTGTTGGCCGACTGCAAGAAATGGGTCGACGTGATGGAGAAGTCTGTGAAAGAGGGCCAGGTGGACAAGAACGGCCACTACATCGATTCCTCAAATTTGGCTGATGTAAAGGAGCCCAGTGGCGAGGCTGTTGAAACTGCTACCAACAGTGCATCGTCGGCTAAAGATGAAGAGGCGGAAGCTCCACGCGAGACGCTTTGGCGCAAAAGGGAGCGACTCTTGGCTACCTCGGTAAAAACTGCCGTCGCGTTGGGAGAATTGTATGCCGACGAACACGTTCTGAAGCCAGAGAAGGCGACGGAGCACTTTGTATGGGCCGTTGAAACGACCCTCAAAGAATTAAAGCGCCGCAGGACCGAAGGGAAGCAGCCGGGTGAGGAAACCTGGCTCACTCCAAATGAAGTCGGCGGTGCAATGGAGTCTCTTGGGCGAGACTACGAGCGCAAGTCGCAGTTTCACCTTGCGATTCCGTTATTCTTCCAAGCGCTCCGCCTGTGCGAGGTTCCATGCCATCGCGCCGTCGTCATGAACAACCTGGCAGCGTCCTTTGCTCAGATTCCCGCTTCATTCCTGACAGGCGCCCTATCCGAGGGGCTAAAGGATATTGAGAGCACTGAAATGCCCAAAACTCGATCAGAATGCCTCGAGGCCGCGGAGAACTGGGCAAAGAACGCATACATGCACGGCAACGACGTCAAGGGTGACGAGCGCACGGCAGAATGTGACGAGGCGTGCGCCGTAGCCCTGTGCAACTGGGCTGACGTGGCTGCCATGCTTGGCAAAACCGGCGTGGCCAGGAAAAAGTATGAACAGAGTATCGAATTGAGCAACAAGCTCGAATTCACGGACGGAGCCAAGCAGGCGGCGGACGGGCTGAAAAGGCTTGACAAGACCTCCAACTAGGAGAAACGAATGCGCCAGGAATGTGCCAGGAATGTGCCAATCGTTGCATTCGCAGGTTATGAGCTGGGAAGTTGAGCAACAAGAAATATCAATGTTCAACGGTGCAGGACCCGGCCGTGTGTATTGGAAATACCAGGTAGAATGAGACACCCGCCACGCAACAAGATCAGGATGCGGTTGACTGATGCGCAAATGTACAAATACAGACACAATATCCAACTGCCATAATACCCTACTCTTTCGTCTTACTGGAATTGACTTGTAAGCCGGATGCGCCGCGACACTATGAGTTCCTGGGGAAATGTCCGTATCGTTATCAACTCAAATTCAAGTGTTGGCCATAGTTGTCCTCAATAAAGTTCGACCAGCTCTGCCGGGCTGTCATGGAAGAAGGTCTGACCTGATCTGTTAATCTTTATGCTTCATTCTTGTCAAAGTCAACCTTGTGACCATCCCATGCATGATGTCATTGTGCAACTGCCTCGTTTCTGTAGTAAAGTCGATGAGATCGAGATTGACGAGCTTGGCTACAAGCACCGCCATTGAATAAGAAAAAAAGCCCTGTCTTTGTGTATGTTTTTTTGTTCCTTGCTCATACATGTTCACAGACTTGGGAAGCACGCGGTTCGATACGACGATGCAAAACTTTGGACTCAACACCTTGAACGACTACACCTTTATGCCAGAGGCCTGGTGGGCAATGTCATAATTATTAGACTGATACATGAAACACAATAAAGACAAAGAGCACAACATTCGCTAAATAGTGCACGTGTCCGCACAGCAATAGTCATCTGCAATGTGAATAGATATCAAAGCCCAACGCCATCAGAAACTCCGACAAGTTCATCATAAAGTCACCCAGTCACCAGCCACTACCTCAATGAGCCTTTGAGCACAAATTGCCACAAAGAACCATGATTATACCATCCTTGGACGCTTCGTTTCAAGACCATCTGGCCCCGCACTACTAACCTCCACAAGTCCGTTGGGCGGCCTTTCACTCAGTGGCACCCGCGGCGCGTTGCCCTCCCCCTGCCCAAGCGGTCTCTTCATCGTCGGCGGCTTGTACGAGTTCCTGTTCGCCAGTGGGCTCGGGGGACCTCCCGGCGCCCCGATCCTGCGCGCCATGTCCAGGCTAGGGTTGATGGCGTGTCCCTTTGCGGCATGTCCACCAGGGCCAACCAAACCACCACCGCCATGCGGTCCTCCTGCTGCCGACGGTCGACTAGGAGTGGCGGCCGACGATCCTCCAGTCTGGCTGGGCGCCGGGACGTGCTGTCCAGAACGTGATAATGGTTTCGATGACGAATGGTCGATGCCGGGCGTCTTTCGTATTGAGGGGCTTTCGGCCTTGGGATTGAAGAGCTGTTGCTTATGGGGCGGGATGCTTGCGCCTTGAGTCGCATCTGTTGTGACGGCCCGTGCCGAAAAAAATGCAGCTACCGGCTCTTCTGCTGGAGGACCTTGAGGCGCCACCGGTGCACCAGGGCCTGCTGTTTGTCTTTGATGTTGGGGGTTCGGGGTCTGAGGTGGTTGTTGGCGTTGAATGGTGTGCGCTGCAGTTTTATGGGATTGTTGCTGGTGTGATTGCTGTCTTGTCTGCGGCCCTGCAGGCGCAGCTGTGACTGGCAGTACAACCTCATCAGGATGACCCTCCTCAGACACGCAAAAGTCTGCCTCGTCGAATTCTAGCATGAAGGGTCAGTCAGCGCCGCTGCCATGTCATCGACTGTCATATATGGAATCTCCATTGTACTGATTGAGTCCCATTCTTTTGTTTAAATTCAGGTTGCAGGGACTTACCGCCGAGAAAGTCCTCAAATGACTCTGAAGCTTCTGCTTTGGCTGCCGCTGCCGCTGATGCAAACGACGGATCAGAACTAGACCCTGACGCTGATGCGGCCGTCGCAGCCTCTGGCGTTGTATATATGACTGGCGCGTCCTTCTTAACAAAATCTGCATGCCGGTGTAAATTATCCTGGGCAAACTTTTTGACAGGTTGCGCTTTCAGCTTGGTCACCTGCTTGACATAGTCCTGGTCATATATGCAGTTGCCCAGAACATTGCCAAAGCTGCGCAGTGTGCGCTTCAAGGCATCCGTGGTGCCCTCCTTCTTAGCCTTTTCAAAGGCCATGGCCTTTCCGCGCGCATTCTCAATGGAGCCATAGCCGATATCTTCGTGGTAGGTGCCGTCACGCAGCGTGATGCGCACAATTACGCTCAGCCCAATATTGACACGCTGCGTCTGGGGGTTCTCATCGGCAAAGTCGACCTGGATGTTTTGGATGGACGAGGACCAGCCGTTGAAGCCAAATATTTCGTTGGCCAAGTTGATGCACTTCTCGGCTGTCAGGTAGTGCACGCGTGTGCCGCCGGGGCCAGCGCGCGAGGAAATGTATTCGGGGCCGAGCTGCTTGTCGAGGCGGACCGATATGGTGGCAATTTCTTTGGCGGTCCACTCTGAAATGCGAGGCCGCGGTTCCTCATATGGGTTGGCCCATGCCTTATGCTGGTCGCCTGGCCTGCAAAAGGTAAATAAGTCAGCGTGTGAGTAGGACAAGTGAATAGCAGTAATGTAATGCGTTCGCGGCGGACGTGGTGCGGGACGTACGCAGGCATGTTATGAGTTAAATGAAAAACACAGCATCAAGAATTATTATTGAGCGTAATCGAAGAGTTGACTGAATACCCAGACAGTGCAAACGGTATTTTGGCCGCTGCCGTGTCGTTGGTCGATAATCGCGGTTGTTGCAAGTAGTCGCGTTCACGTCGTCGTGCGCCTTGACAGGTAAACACGTGAGTGGACTCTGAGTGGCGGCCGACGGTACGTACCGCCACCTCTCGACTCGGGCCCGGTGAGTTAAATATCCACCCAGCACCACGACAAAGCATTGAGAGATGGAATGATGCTCTGTTTATTTGGCACATTGTGCTGCATGGTCCAATGCATCTAGAATTTCTTACTAAGAATGTTTTGGCGAGTACTTACAGAGCCATTGTATTTATAGTCTCATAGAAGAGAGCTCTACCAAGTCTGTGCTATTTACGCCTCCTCAAGTGACAAAGGAAAGGAAATAATAAGCCAACAACAATCCACAAACAAAAAAGCAGAAAAGGCAGTTCCTGGAAAGAAACCGACTGTTTCCCGAAATGGGAAAAGAATCATACCGAAAATCAAACGCCGGTAACATCCCGTAATGCGCAGAAAAGTAAGTCCAGAATGTCTATGCTAGTGTTCATGATGCCAAATGAAATCTCATTAAGTGTGTCGTGTCATGCATGCCGCTGGTGCCATATCAAATGTGCCCTTATCTGCTTGGTATCTTTATGTGACGGCCATTATGTGCTATAAATTCGGTGTTTTGCAGATCGGTATCTTGTTTACCAGGGCCCGACCCGCACGGGTGAGCCGTAAGCGCCGGACATAAGTTGGTTGAGAATGGAGTTTTGCTCATTGGGGGGTTGGTTGGGCGAAGCACCCATCCAACCAACGCTGCTGGTCATGGCGGAGATGGCCTCAGCCAATCGGCCGCCGGACTGCTCATTGTGTCTGTTGAGAGCCTGGTCCCAGCCGTCGGAGTGGAGGTTGAAGCCGCCAGCTCGCTTGCCAGCCTCGTTCATGACAAGGGCCCAGGCTTTGGAGATGTCGTCGTAAGCACCGTCCTTGTGGTGGCGATAGGTTTGAGGCTCCCAGTCGGGCAGTTGGTGAATCAGTTTGGTGGCCTGGTCCAGGAACTCTAGGGACTTGGTTGGCTGCGTCTCAGTGGGAGGCAGAAATTGGGGCGTAAAGTCGGCAATGGCATCGACAAGAGCTATCAGTGTTTCCTTCACCCGAAAATATGTATACTCGGCGCTGCTGTTCCCGTAAGGGATGGAGCCGTTGAGTTTATCCTGATAACGACGCAAGACTTGAAGAGCAGCATCGACAGAGGGTCGAGGGGCCTGCGTGACGACTTCGTGACCGATCTGAGGGTGCGTCTCGCATATTCTTTCGAGGACAGTGCGAAGTTGGTCGGTATCAAGAGTTTCAAGGAGTCTGGGCAAGTTGAGAGGCCGACCGGTTATCTCGTTGGATCGTACTTTCTTTGACGGTCTGGCAATGCTTCGTGGCTGAACGGCTGGGGAATTGACGGGCGACATATTCTCGTCGCCATCACCGTCCTCGTCGGCTTTTCGTTTACGGTTGGCCATGTTGTGAAAGGGGGATTCTTGGGTTTTTATTGTTAGTATCAACGTCGGACCCATGGGGAATGAGTGCACGGGCGGAGACGGAAGGCATGGCTGGCACGGAGAGAAGGAACAAGACTAACGAGATCGCTGAGGAGACTGTCGAGGACTTTCGTGGTGGTGGGGAAATACAGACGGCTGCGGTGATAGGAGAATGTTCATGGTGCAGCGATGATGACGACGACGGGGTAGCCACTGAGGTTCGGGGCTGCGCTTGCGTTGACGATGTGCTTGAGTTCGGGGTGTGAGGAGCGGCGAGGCAGCGACAGGGGATGAGCGTGAGCTTCTCGCCTCAGCTCCTCGGTGCGGACAAACGATGAGAATGAAACACTGCGGTGATGGAATGGCAGCGGGCACTGGTGAGTCTGTCGACAGTTGCCGGACGGAACAAAGAGCGGAGAGGGAGAAGAAAAAGGGCTGAAAAGGCTGGCGACCAAGGGCAACAGGATTGGTTTGTGAGAGGCTTTTTGCAGTGGAGCAGCGTGGTTTGCCGCGGTGACAATTGGACGAGCGGACGCTGAAAAGCCACTGCGCAGCGACTCACAGCGCTCGAGGGGCATGGTAATAAAAGTTCTGGGGCAGCCAAGGCCCAAGGCACACGTGACGGCCTAACTTGTATTAAAAGGCTAAAGCAGGTGGCAGGCTATTTACTAACCAGTACAAATCGAGGCAAGAAAGGGTTGTTCATCGCACGCTAAATTTATGATCTTCATGTGTCTACTCAGTACTCCGTAACCAGCTAGTTATACCCAAGTACCTCGTCGATACTTGCCCAGTCAATTGCTCTGGACTGAGCTAAAAAGCAAGCTATTCAGCCGAGACTTCCCCCCGCCCCTCCGGCGGCTACAAGTTCACGGCAGTTGCTCTGGCGTCAATTCAGCGCTGCAGCCACTGTGGCTCACTGTGGCTCGCCATGACATTCATCGTGGTCACCCCAGCCAGCATCCCTCCAGATCCCCTCTCGGTCTCATCTCGCTCAAGACTGACAGTCACATCTGGAATACACTCGGAGAAGTTGTGCATATCATATACCGACCAAAAAGGTAGCTCTCTGAATACCAACCAGCCACGCTTACTCGGCCCGTCTGTAATACCAGCCACTGTCATGAGGCTACATCAGTCGCAACCCTCGCGGCTCACTTTGCTCAAATATGTCACTAGGTTGTCTTCATCACACTCACAATCCCGTCGGTAACATCGCTTGCAGGTTCAGGACCAGTGGCCGAATGACTAATAAAGAATACGGTGTTACCTCTGCAAAAATACAGGAGGGTCCGACAAAAAACGTACAGCACCCGGAGTTCGCTGGTCGTCACCGACCCAGCTACTACTCAGGCGCTCGAGTGGTTATCGCTCGGAGATCAGACGGGATCCAGATTTGGCACTCGGCTATGGCCGTACATGTTGTGAGGCTGCCGTATGATTAGTTATGAAGGGAACGCTGGTCCATGTGGCGGCCGAGCGGTCCATGTGGAAGAGCACACTGTTGATGTTGAACCGGTGTGAAGATGTGCTGGGGAGGGAGGACCTTCGAATCAGTACATGTAGCCGCTTCGAGTTAAACCCATGATTAGCAACCTATCGACGGCTTTTCCCGGGGTCTGTATTCAATGCCTTGAGACCCCGGAAAGTTCTTGCTTGACTTGCGCTAAGAACAGCCGCCTGAAAGCCGTAGTTCCTATTTATGCTACTAATTGTCGAGGATTATACTCTTTGGGGCTCGATCGGGCCATATATGTGTAAGAGCACGCAAATTCCTCAGATTTTTAAAAACTGCCAGTTTGACTTCGGTGCTACTCAGCCCCGTGGCCTCCACCAATTCGCCGAACATAACAAAAAAGGAACAAGATTCTCGGTGAGAAAGTCCTAGGCGTGAGGAGCCTTGTGTGGGGGGGGAGTCTGAAGTGCGGCGTTCCATTACTATTCTTACAGCCGTGCAGTACTAAGAAAGCCACTCATGTTTTAATAATTCTGCAGCAGACTTTCGCGCCATCGGGTCAATTGCCAGCATGCTTTTGATGAAATCGATGAAGCTACCAATTTCAGTATCTGGCATATCATCAGGTTTGATTAACGGCTTCACTTTGCCGTTGAGCAAGCGCTCAAGGCTCGTTGCCTTGAGGTTAGGAATCCGAATCAGTTTCCCTGAATTTTCAAATACGTTAGCAAAGAAGCCAAGCACTACGACACATATGGGGATAATACCTTGCTCATCAAAAAGATCTGCGGAGTGCCGCCCCTTCTTAAGCAGGCTCGACGGAAACGGGCCGAGGATTTCGACAATTCTTGCCAAATGGTCATCCTCGGCGGTCCATGTTCCCCTTTCCGATGCATTTCCAGAGAAGAGAACTATACCTTGAACAAATTCCACAACCTGTATACCAGGCCAAGAAAATTAGTATTTACCATGCTTGGACCTTTGGTTATTCTCACGAGGCATCCAAGACTCCATATATCAACAGCAGTATCCCATGGAGCGCCGATGGTGACTTCAGGTGCCCTCAGCGCGAATGACTGAATTAGATCTGACAGATGTTTTTCCCGCCAGGAGGCTAAGGAAGGACAAGTCAGTACGATTATTCGGCTATAAACGTTGACATTCACGTACAAACGCCAAAGTCAATTATTCTAACATGCAGAGAGGCTATGTCGGAGACGAGCGGTGTCGTGATTACCTCCCGAAGTGGGACTATCGCACCATCCTGGCGTTCGTCCGTTCGTGGAGGGACAGATTCGAGGTACTTCGAAATGGTCTCGTTTGGGTTTTCCAACTCTAGCAGTATGTTCGTTGGCTTGAGGTCTATTTGCTAAATTAGTGATAAACCAAGTCGGTTCCTCTGTGATGTGTAACGCCACACCTGTATGAATTATGCCGCACTCTCTGTGAAGAAAATCCAGCCCCATTAAAAGCTGTCTCGCGATTTCTTTCACTGCCTTTACAGGTAACCTTCCATCTTTGTATTTGGCGGTTTGAAAGTCGAGATGATGCCCTAGCACGTCGAATACAAGGCAAACATGGTCTCCATTGGGCCCTTTGTGGTTGAATTGTTCAAGGAGATGCAGTAGGTTTTTGTGGCCTTTATGAGAGCTTCTCCGAGACACCTCCGAGATACTCGAGAGGTTTTCACGCTCAAAAATATCGTGAGAGCCGCCATAGCAAGCAGCCCTTAGCAGTTTTAGCGCCACATATCGCTGGCATCTGCGACATTAGCAACCTGATTTGACTCAACAGCAGGCGACCTACTTCGAGTCTCTGGCAAGCCAAACTGTGGAATACTGTCCGTGTCCTAATTTTCTCAGGACAGTGTATCGCTTGTTATTAAAGGTATCGCCTAGCGATACAGGATGAAACCCTCCAGGTCTATAAATATCAGGCTCTTCTAGGAATCGTCGAGAATTAACCGGCGTCGATGCTGGAATCCGCCATAGCGGCGCAGAGAGTTTCGAACATCGACCGCGAACATTTGCTAGGGTTGCTTTGATCAAGTTGATCAGATTTCTGACATGCTGGATTGTCTTGTTGATCGCGTCACATTGTATGTCAAGGACACGCGAGCACACGTGAGCGGTGTAACATTGATCCGCCTCTCCCTCACCCGCGAGCACAATTGCTCTCAGCAGCAATCCTCAATTGTCCTCTGATGAAAGCTATCAGAGCGTGCATAGACGATATCTATACAAGTAGTCGAAAAAGCGTCTGGAGGCAGAGACGGCGACAAAAAGGGTCATGACACGAACAACTTGGAAGACGTGGGGTCGCTAAATTTTAATAGTTACCTAACGGCTAACGGATAGTCTACAAGTCAATGGACGGATGTTGCCGCGGAAATGAAACAGTGGCACAAGTAAGTTGGCACACTTCCTACGAGTATTGATTGACTATAGATAGCATAGCCAAGAAGGCATTGCTTTCGGTCTCAAACCCGATTTTAGTAAAATAGGAATCTTCAAAAAAAAATTGTTTGGTCAGAAGGGCTATACAGTGAGCTGGCAGCTATTTTTGGCCACCCTTGTCTGCTAATGCTATAAAGCACTATTCATGTACAGTAGATTATGCAACCCTGAGCCCCAGTTGGCTGCCTCCTTGTGATTGGTCTACCTTAATTGCCCGCGTGCTGTCTCTTTCTGTCGCTCAAGGATTTATTAGTATATCAGTAGTATTCCAGTAGTGATGACGACAAGCCACATCGCCGGTTCAGACACGCTGGAGCCAAGTAGAAAAGGCAGTGGACTGGAGGGCAAACCTGCATCTACAGGTGCTGCAAGACCAGTGTTGCTAGTGATTGGCTGAGTCGACCAGGATTGGCTTTTTGCATTCTTGTCAAAATGTCAAAAGCCTTACAATTACCAGGCATCCAGGCATCCAGGCACCAAGACAAACCAGGACCTCTCCATATCCGTTTTGTGGCTGGACAAAGGAGCTGCGCCTGTTGAGCGGGGTTCCAGTTGTCAATGTGACAATGGCATTGCAAAGGACAAGTTAAAATCAGCCTTGGCGACAAAAGATGGTGTGAGTCGACTCCACCCCCCTTGTTGCAGTTGGGCAGATGGATGATCGGCGTCTTTATTTAGGCACTTTGAACAACCGCGATGACCCGGAACCCATCGCAACTTGCAAGATAATCCGACAACACACGTAAGATTTTCTATTCTTGGGGGCCGCGCATCGGATCGTGGCGAAGCAACGCCAGTGCTTACTTTCGACTGCCGTGAAGAAAAGAAAAAATTAATGAACTTGGTGGTAGAGTCTCACACAGTCTCCAACAATTTGCCATGAAACAAGGATTAAAATGGCGGGAAGGAGCAAAGAACCCTGTACCCCGGACATCCACATTATCAGCATTCTTCCCCAATTGCATTCTCCATGACGTGTTGGCGGATGGGTGACATGGTACGTACTTTTCTTAAACACTTATCAATTTCCTCTATTTAATGCTGCCAATTCCTCGTTGAGGTTCATTGTCAATCCGTCTCATTCCAATCGCCCAATCGCCCAAGATCAGATAAACCCCGTTCTTCACGTTACACAATATGCGTCACACTAGTACCATCGCTCTGGCCATTGCCCAGTTCGTCCTTGCCACCCATGCGCAAGTCGACTTGGACATGGGCGACGTGCCCACGGCCTGCCAGACAATCTGCAGACCGATTGGCACCCTCTCGGACCGTTGCGACGTCGACCTGCGCAGCGACAACGACCGCGACGAGCATCTCCTCCAGAACCAGTGCATCTGCACCAACAAGAGCTTCGACGTCGGCAAGATTGCCGCTCTCTGCGCGGACTGCATGCACCAGACCAGGAACAACGGGCGTGGCGGCGACAACCGCGCCGACAGCGACGATCTCAGGGGTACGTGGCCGAGCACTAGATATATCTCGGCAATCAATAGCTAATTTAAGTCTGCCATCTAGACATTGACGAGCTTCTGTCCGTGTGCGGCTTCCCCAGCACCACATACAACTCGGCAGCCACCAGCGAGGTAGCCAGCGTCACGGTCGATGTCACTCGTCCCACCGACGTCAGCCAGCTCACCACCACAATCAATCGCTCTCTCCCTGCCACCGGAGGTGCTGGTGGCGGCAGCAGTGCCACGGCCACCCCAAGTGCCTCGCGGAACAGCAGCAGCGGCTCTACAACTCTGACTTCTCAGTCTTCTGCCACAGCGGCGCAGACCTCTGGCAGTCGCGGTTCCTCCTCCCAGTCCGCCAGCGCCTCAAGCTCCAGCGCTGCTACTTCATCGACGACCGGCAACGCCGCTGCGGCTGTGACGGCCCAAGCAGCCTACGCTGTCGGTGGCTTGATTGCTGCAGCTTACCTTCTGGGTTAAATATGTACACACCCGTGATGGCTTTACTCGATGGTGTACTGTTAAGAATATTTGATACTGCAGCACTTTCGCTGTCATTCTCCTTTATGTATCACGAATTTATGGGTTCATGTAATTGGTCTCTGTCATTTACTCTACTACAAGTTTACTATATTTACTTGATGAGAGATGCTAGTATACTTTTATTCCGTCACCCTTGCTATTCAATTGGTGTCTGAACATTCCAGGAATTTTGCGACTTTATTTCTTATGTGAGATGTATGGCACGCTACGTGCTTCGAGTTAGTTGGCTTACTTGTACAGTGAACCAGCGGTAAGCAGCAGCCGGTTTCCGCCATATTAATAATACCATTTGATCCACCCCACTACCAGCACCTAGCTGACTTTGACCCTTAATGAATATTGAAAAGCGATTCAAGATGAGTTTTGCGAACTGTTAGCATGGACGGATACTGCATCATGGGATCAGCCACATGTTCTGGTACCGCCACAACAGTTGCCCCTACGCCACACTTGATAGCCTAACGCGCAGTAGTGTTGAGTCTGGCCATAAATGTGCAATTGGGATTTGACAGTATAATGAGATTTGTACATGTCTATTTGAGAGCTCTCATTACTTTAATTCAATACAGAAAGAAGTGACTATCAAGCTATCAATGGCGCAAGTGGTGGTCGAGGTGCTCGAGGACCCTTCCCACGATAAGCCTTATCGGCACCGGACCCAGAAAAATTTCTGCCAAAGTGCTTGAACTTGCGGGTTATCAGCCGGCATATTCTACAGAGGGCATATCAACTGCATATAGAAGTCCTTTCAGCTCACGGTCGATTTCTGCGTTGATACAATGTCATCCGACGACAAGGAAATGTCCCCCGTGGACGCCTCGCCCGAGACAAATTCTGCCAAGCGCAAGGCCGATGTCGAGGAGATTGAAGTCGACTTGGCGGCACCCGAGCCGCCGTCGAAGCGCGCCCGTCGTGCGATGAAGAAGGGCAAGAGCGCGACATCGAAAGCGAAAAAGGACAACGACAACAACGACCTCGAAGAAGAAGAGACGACGAACAAGGATAAAAAGGACGACAAGGCGGCGCGCTCGGAGCACGGCGTCTGGATCGGCAACCTGCGCTTCACCGTGACGCCGCAGGAGCTGCGCCAGTGGCTCATTGACAACTCGGGCGGCGTCCTCACCAGCGAGATGATTACGCGCGTCAAGCTGCCGCTGTCCAAGACGCCCGGCCGCGACAAGAGCGAGCCGGCCACCAACAAGGGCTTCGCGTACGTCGATTTCTCCGACATTGGCGGCAAGGTCGCCGCCGTTGCGCTGTCAGAGACGGAGTGGCACGGCCGCCGGCTGCTGATCAAGGACTCGACGTCGTTTGAGGGCCGCCCGAAGAAGGAGCCCGAGGCGAAAGAGGACGACAGAAAAGGCGGCGCCAAGAAGCCCGCCGTGGACCCCAATGCCAGTCGCAAAATCTTTGTCGGCAACATGAGCTTCAAGACGACCGAGGACGATTTGCGGCGCAACTTTGAAAAGTGCGGCGAGATTGAGTGGGCTAAGATTGCGACGTTTGAAGACACGGGCAAGTGCAAGGGCTACGGCTGGGTCAAGTTTAAAGAGGCCGAAGCTGCCGCGTGGGCCGTCAAGGGCTTTGTCAAGATCAAGGAGGCTGTCGAGACGGAGGACGATTTCCGGGACGACAGCGGCGGCGACGACGACGACGATGACGATGGTGATGATGGTGATGATGGTGATGAAAAGGACGAGGACGCGGACAAGCCCAAAAAGAAGCGCGGCCAGCAGCAGAAGCAGCAAAAACAGTTCAAGACGCGCAAGTGGTACGTGAACCGCATGCTCGGCCGTGAGCTCAAGCTCGAGCTGGCCGAGGACGACCAGTCGCGCTACAGGAAGCGCTTCGGCAAGGACAGACCGGCCAACGCGGCCGGACAGCGCGGGCCGCGCCAGGATGGTGGCGACGGGAGACGGCACGAGCACAAAAAGGCAGAGACGGCAGAGGATATTCAGACGGCGCGGCTGATGGGCAGGGTGGTTGAGCATACGGGTTCCAAGGTGACGTTTGATTGAAGAGAGTTGGTAATGATTTTTTTTTATAAAATGTTCTACGATTTTTGAGCGATTTCAAAAGTATCAAGTTAGCATATGAAGGAGAAAAATTGTCATGACTGGGAACTGGATTAGCAATGGGGAGTGTAGCTCATCCGCATTGACTGGGCCGAGGATGTATACCTCAATCAACAGCGTACATTGTTTGGTGCAATATACTGTTAGGCAACATTCATTTGGTCGCTGTCACCGGGAATCATCTCTGTAATTTTATTAAACTTTAGTCAGATTTGCGCTCGACGCAACCAAACAACATGTTCATAGTAGGTAGCCTCTCTTCACGCTAGCACTGCGATCAACACAGGACGCGCTGCCGGTGGTCAGGGTGGAGAGAAGGACGAGGGAAATTACACTACGTCCAGGGCGTTGAGGTCGGTTCATTACGGACAGATTGCGAGGTTCAGTGTAATTCTCAAAATGTATAAATAGCAAGCGCGCTCATATATTCGAAAAAAAGATTGTACAACTAATAGATTTAGGAAGATTACAAGTTAATGACAGGAATGATGTGCATTCGAAAGAAAAGGGAAAATTCTGATAGAAAGAGCACAAATATTCGAGGCCGTCAGTCGCGAGAGTTTCACAAGTTTTCATCACACGTTTCTTCATTTGAAAGCGTTTCTGTCGTGCCACTTCACAAATCAGTCACATCGACGTTCACGTTTCATGCTCGGCTCAACATGAGCGGCACCATGGCCGTCTGGCTGTCCATTGTGCACCGGTCCTCGAGCACAAAGTCGCTGTTGCCCGTGTAGTAGTAGCTTCCGCTGCCGGCGACGAGGTCCCTGCCCGCCATCAACCGACACGCCGCTACCGCGCCATTGCTGGGCCCCGCGCTGTCATGACCGTAGTGACCGCTGACGCCATCACTCGGCTTGTGCTTTTTGAAGAACTCGCGCGTCAGCTTCGTCATGACAGCCTCCTTGGCGCGCTGCAAGGCGCTGACGCGCGCTGCCGCGTCCTCGGCGAGCAGCCGGTGCGCCTCCTCCTGCTCTAGGTTGCGCTGCACGGCGGTGATGCCGTCGTCGTCGTCGCCGACGCCAGGCGACACCGCGGCGTGCCGCGCGTGGGGGTCGTAGACTGTTGGCTGGAGGAGCACCGGCTGCGGCTCCGAGGAGAGGATAGGCGGCGATATGAACGGGTCGGAGAGGGTGACGGGGGCTACGTGAATCGTCTCGAGCGACAACTTGCGCTGCGACGACGATGACGACGACGACGAATGTGATGGGCGTCGAAACAGGCGCATAGGGGATAAAGACGACGGCTGAGACGAGGAAGAGTGCGAGCGTGGCAGGGGGGGCGGCGGCGGCGGCTTCGACTTGTGGTCCGGCTCGCTAGCGCTTCTGCTGTGCTTGCGCTTGCTGCGGTGGTGATCTTGGTCATGGCCACGGTGGTTGTGCTTGGAGCGCTTCTTCTTCCTGATCCTCGTGGTGAAGCCCGTGCTCTCCTCGCGCGTGCCCGCAGCCGCCATCTCCACGGTTAGCTCCTCCTCCATGACCGTCTTTTCGTCATCATCGTCGTCATCGAAGCCGTAGGCACCAAAATCCATGTCGAGCAGTTCGCGACCGACAGCCGCGACTGCTGCGCTGAGGCTGGGCAGCTCGTCGTCGGCGCTCTCGCTCGTCGCCAGGCTGCAGCGGCTCGGTGCGCGGACGAGGCCGCTGTGCGACCACTTGTGCTCCTCGCTGACGGGCGCGAGCGCGTCGTCCCAGCGGCCATTATCCGCCAGGGAGACGTTTTCAAAGTCGTACTCCTTGACCGTCGCCTGATGGGCGTCGATGAGGCGGCGCAGCTGCGGCGCGTTCATGGCCGTGTTCCGGATTTGTAGGTACCGCAGCGCGGGCATGTGGATGGGCGCGCGCGGGGGTCGCACGGGTAGCGGCGACATGGGCGAGGTGACCTCGTGGAAGAGTTTGCGGGAGGCGCGCGGCGGCGCAAAGAGCGGATCGGCCGCGAGGGCGATAGGACATGGACCCCTGGCACCAATCCAGGAAAAGGAGAGCTTCTCGAGCTGCGGCGCCAGCCCGCGGATGTAGTCGTCAATGATCTTGAGATGGTCAAGCCCCGGCGAGGCACTATTGTGAAAGTCCCACGCCTCGACAGACAGGTGCAGCTTGCGAATCTGCTTCCAGCGGCGGCCGGCCGACGGCACGCTACCGATGCCGTTGACGTGGCGCAGGTAGCTGAGCGCCGCGGGGTGCAGCGACGAGAGGGACAGCTTGTGCAGGTTGGTCAGCGGGGCACGCTCGACGGCGATGCGCAGGCTGATGAGGGCGTAGTCGACGATATCGCGGCGGTAGCGCTCCGCCGGGTTCTGGCCGGGGCAGCGGACCGTCAGGTGGCGGATGCGGGCGAAGTGGCCCAGCACTTGGATGAAGCTGGGCACGTTGGTTGCGGCGTGGAATAGCGGCGGGTACTGCTGGGTGAGGATGTCGCCGAGCTCGGTGTTCGCGTACTTGGGCCGCGTGAGCGCTGAGCCCATGCTCGTGTGCGGCGTGTACAAGAAGGAAATCTCCTGGCCCGTCTGCGGGTGTACGAGCGGCGGAAGAAAGGTCGCGTCCGAGTGCGGCAGGTAAAAGGTGAGGTGCTCGACGTGGTGCCCGATGCGGCCGAGGGCGGCCACGCGACACGGCTTGGTGAAGGCGCTCGCGGTAAAGGTGACGTGGATACGGGTAAAGAGGCGCTTGGTGAGCAGGTTGCAGCAGGCCGAGGATGACTGCCGCACGGCGCAGGCGTCGCCGGTGGAGAGGTGTGCGAAGAGGCCGTCCTGGATGCGGTCGCTTCTCAAGAGGGCGAGAAACTGCTGTTCTGTAGATGCCATATCGTTCTCATTGGGTGGGCTGAATAGGGCAGTGGGAGGGTGAATATAGCCAATGGGACTTTCTAGGGTGATTGAGAATAGAGCGATCAATAGTATGCAAGTGCTGTTGGTGATGTTGATGTTGGGGTGATTGAGAGGTGAGAGCAAGTCGGTGTTGGTCGAGTCAACGCCGGATATCAACGCTGAGTATTGACAAGTGTCGTCACAACAAACGTGAAAGAACAAAGGAACAAGGCCACAAGAAGTGGCCGCCCGAAAAGGGAAGCGGCCGGTCGGTATATATCCCGACCACGTCCCTCAACTGATTGAAGTCTTCCTCCCATCTCCCCCGTCTGCGCAAGCAACTTTCCCTGCACAATCTTCCTTGCACCAACCTGCATCAGGTTACATGCAGCCACACACCTCAAAAGCTAAGCTTATTCCACGGCTAACACGCCACGAAACGAAACAGTCTGCATAGTGACCGGGGGGGCAAAGCTCTTCTTCAGTATCCGTGGCCTGGGACGAACTAGCAGTAGGCTTGTAGAAGGAGAGCTCGCGCGAGCTTCGCGCATCTACTGGCTCGCGATGCGCTCTTCCCGCACCGCAGGGCATGAAATGCAGCATCGTCGCCGCGGAGACTGGCCATTGAATGGTCGGTGAGCAAAGCACGAAGAAACCTCGTGCAGTAGTCTGCGCAGTGTAAGTGGCCCTCGATGGCCAATCAGCTCGGCGGGGAACACTGGGGCCAGAGACCTTGGCTTCGCACGTTTCCTTTTTTTTTTCTCCGTGCGTAGTTACAGGGGCTTGTCGAGAAGCTGCCTGCCATCCTACGGGACGCTTCCGAATGTGGTCGTTGCGCGGCGTGTGAGTGGAGGTTGCAGAAGGAACAGAGCAAAGAAAAAGGGCCCGCGATGCGTTTGGGTGTCGCCTTCGCGTTGGCAGCCAATCATAAGCGCGCATCTCGACGCGGGGCCGGGTGGGAAGTCGCGTGTATCAGATCGCGGATCGCGCCGCGCGTGGCGCCTTGCGGCCAACCTTGCGCAAGAAGAAAACCCCCGCTGCAGCCGATTCTCTCAAAAGTTCAGTCTTGTTCAGGGCGGGGAAAAGGTAACCAAGGAATGTTGCGGAAGACGGCAGTTGATGCCCTGCCATGACCCGACGACACCCCCTCTTTTGCCACAACGCCGTCGTGATAGCCAGTGAGGCAGCCAGGGGTGCGAGCCATTTCGAGACAAATATGCACACCTTTGCTTCTCATCACATTCATCCTTCTTGATTGACAGTTTCCCAGGCACGCCGCATTTTCAACCAAGAATCCTGGTCCAGAGGAGGCCCTTTGCTAGCACTGCATGGCCACGTTGTAGCGTTCGTGACCGTGGCTGATTGTGCTGCCAGCCGCAACTGGCCAAAAAGTGAAACCTCATGCGAGGATTCAATCAACTTTCAATCACTTCTTTCAAGCGACTGGACTCAAAACAAGCCCGAAGAGAAAAACTCGACTATACATGCAACGCAACTGGGTGAGGTCATGGGCTCTTATATACTTTTACTTGCCCGGGTCGGCGCATCACGGCCACATAAGCCGCAGGAAAACAAGCTCACCACGCTGCAGCCACATATAGCCTTTGCGGAACACGCGGTTGCTCTACCCACCAGTCCATTCGCATCATGACCAAAGGCTCTGCGAAAAGGATGACGTGGAGCCAGACATCCTGCTCATATTGGCGCAGCTAATAATCCACAGCAAAGACTTGCAGCACGCAACATTTGGACTCGTATATCGAAAATATAATATAGCCAATTGTATTTGGTAAATGCTCTTGGGTATCGTGATTTCGTTCTAGATAGCGTCCTTTTTGCCCCTCTTCTACACGCCATGTTAAATGATGATAATGATACACGCCGTCTGCGCCTTTTCGAACACGCAATCATCGCCGTCCCCGTCCTCTGCCACCTCCGCCTCCACCTCCACCTCCGCGTCCCCCGCGGCCACGCGGAGGACCACCCCGTCCACGGCTATAGCCGCCACGGCGTGCATCTCCCTTGGGCGGAGGAGGCGGAGGTCCCCGGTTGTTCCGCGCAGCTGGCGGCTTCGGAGGCAGTGAAGGTGGTGGCCCGCGCTCGTTTCTGCCGTAGCTGGTTGTGCCTGGAGGTGGAGGATACCCCGACGGAGGGAGGGGTGGAGGAGGGCCTGGTGGCAAGGGCGGCTGCACGGCGTTACCTCCCAGCGTAGGCATCTGGATGTTGGTCGACATTTGCATGCGGCCCAGCGGCGGCCGTTGCTGTCGCGGTGCTGCTCTGTGGCTGAGTAGGTCCATATCAGAGTCATCGCTCTCCGAATAGTGCACATTAATGGCCCGTGAGGGAGGACCGCGTGGCATCTTGGCCTGCTGGCGGCCCTTCTTTGGTTTCGCACCAAGGTGCACACTAGCGGCCTCCTCAATGGACTCATTGCCGCAATTTGGATCTATGAAACGATCGCGATTTCGTAGTGTCCATGACGGATTGAATGGTCGACTGCCCTTTTGCGAACAGTCAGACGCAAAATGGTTCCGTGAGCCACACACCGCACAGGATGCCTGGATAGCAATTACAGGCAGCACGACATCACCTTCGGCGTGAAATGATCGCCAAGGCTCTGTGCATTCGCCTTCGAGGTGATGTTCCATCCCGCAGTATGCACAGGCCAAGCCCTCATCCTTGGTGAGGGCCAGCTTTTCCACGCAGGATGAAGTGTCGTGGCCAAGTTGTCGGCATTTGTCGCATCTAGCCTGGATGGCTTGGCAGGCAAATTGCCAGTGACCAGTTTCTCCGCAGAATTTACATTTCGTGTGGCTGCATGCGTCAGAGACGTGGCCTTTGCGGCCACACAAAACACACATGTCGGCCGCATTCTCCGCGGAAGGAAAGTATCGACGTTGCTCCGTTGTTGGTCCTCCTTTGGGAACCGAGTCGCCATTCGTTGCGGTAACAACAACATTATTTGCGTGGCCGTTTGTCTGCTGGCCATTCGCCACCTGTGCCGCCTCACTTGGCTCGTATTCCGGCGAGTCGGCGACTTGGCCCTCTTCGCTGTCGTCTGCCTTCGTTGCCAGTGCAGGAGGTGGTGGCTTTGCGGATGCGATGACGTTGTCAATCTGGCCCGATTCTTCCATGGCGCGAACAGTCTGCTTGGCCGTTCTCTTCTTTGGCGGTTTCAGGCCACTGTGCACGTCAACGTATTGGCAAAATGCGGACACAATCGTTGGGGGCTTGATGTCGGCCAGTGACTTGAAATTGATTGTGCACAGAACGGTTGACCAGTCCAAGACGCGTTCGCACCAGGAACCCTCCTTCTTCTGCGACAGCGCCGGCAGCTTCAAGCTGACAGAGTCAGTTGTAAACAGCGGCGGGTCCGAGGGAACGAACGACTTGGCTGCTGGCTGGCCGCCTGATTGCCCGGATTGACTGCCAATAGACTTTGGAAGACTCTCCTCTATTTCGCCTTCCTCGGAAGCTTTGCTTGGATTGCTGCTGAGCGATGGGCGGCTGAACTTGGGGCGCTTGGATGTGTGAGAGGGTTGGTCGTCCTGGCCGTCGGGGCCATCGACATCAGATAATGATCTCTTTCCAATCTGGCTGTTCTCTTCTTCACTGTCGCTTCCCCCCATGCTAATAACATCGCCGGGTATTTGTTCTTCCGCGGCCATCTAGAATGTGATGCTGCAGGTGGCAGTGGCTCATGTGACGTTGATACACTGAGGTTTGCGCCGCGAATGAATCAGAGGTCAATGCGCCGGCTGTGTTGCGGTTCAACCGGATGCACGACAGTGGTGGGATTTGGAACCGGAATCAATAACAAGGCAAGACGGGAAGAGCAAGGTAGCACGTCCTGATTGTACGAGTACATATGCGACTGTCGTAACACCAGCCCAAAAAAAAGGCGACGCGAAGAATATCATGGTCGAATCAGCGCAAAATTGAAGGCTCCACTATTAAATAGTAAAAGCTAGAACCGACCGAGTAGCAGCAGTAAAATGCCGGCAGCGGGGCCAGGTTTTCCCGAGCCGATACGCTGAAATTGCGGCAACTCGTATTCGAGAAGACTGGCCTCGGCTTTTACCACTTTTATTGTCATGTAGATTTAGATGCCGCGCGAGGGAGCAAACCGCTGGCCCGATCCAAGCAAGCTTTGCCTGGAATTTTGAGTGAGTGCCTGAAAATGGTGTCAATTTCTGGTTCAAGATGTCAAAAGAACTTGGCAAGGGGGATTCTGTCGTCCTCAGCAAATAGCCATGAGACCATCAAATAGTTAGGATGAGAGCTGCCTTACATTTGGGTTAATCATCTCGATTATGAGCTCCACCTTTATTTGGCTTTGCAAGGGGGGGCCAAAAGGGCTGACGAGTCGACGATGAGCTTGAACGGGCTACTCAACAAATAATATTTAGTCAGGAGATGGGGAGAACGTGAATGCCAAGAAACTTGTTCTTGAGCTGGTTGGTGTTTTGCAGATTAGAGATGAATCACGTGGCATTTTCCCTTGGCATATCGAGCCAAGTCGGACAAAGTATTAAGCTGCATTGTCAAATTCATTTGATGCCTCACGGGTAGTTGGCACAATGTTGGCGTCGCCGGCGCAATGGAGCACTGCCAGCTATGTACATAGGAGGGATTTACAGAGCAAAAAGACATGCAGTAGCAACAGCAATAACAAGCTTTCTGGCCCCCTCCTGGGTGCATCCGGGGGGCGGCAGCACTCATGCTACCTCTCAGTCTCAATCTAGTGGGTGAAGGCTGGCGCATGTGTGATGTGCTGGTGCATGGAAGCGAGAAAGAGGCGCAAATGGCTGTGTGGTGCCTCGGGCAAAATACTTGGTAGAATCGACATACGTGCGTTAGTCTACGATTCTCGTTTGCACATTCTACTGTGTGTTTGCTTGCAAAATTTATCGAATTGGCATCAAAACGAGGGCCGCCGTTGTCTCCAACGTGGCCTTAACTGACATTTTTTATGAAGAGAGTCAGTGTGCGACAGTTGATGTGGCTGCTGGCGAGGTTCTAGACGGGGCCCATCTCCACTAGCGTCCAGTTGAGGTTTACAGCGCCACCTACCTATCACTACCAGAGGACTGCTTCGTAGAAATACAGTGCGGCAGTGCTGCACAAGCGTAGACCGTCCGATGGCATTGGCTCTTGGCCCTTGCTCTTAACCGACGACCCTTTCTTTTTTTCTCTTCTCACTGTCCTTGTACTGACACATATAATCATTGTCAATATTTATTACGGCCCCCGCTCCTTTTAGCCCATTTATCAAACCATCTATCATAACGCAGCCACCCACAAACCACTGTTCGACAAGAGTCCCTGCGCTAGTTCCGGTGCAAGCTCCCGTCCCTGCTGCCTCCTGAGGCTCCTACTGGCTGCCTGCCCACTACTGCCCACTACTGCCCCGTACAGCTTGTTTCCTGTCACAAGGCCGACTCGCCACACGCAAGCCTCCTCTTGCCTCAACATCGACCATTACTTTTCTTTGGTTCATTCGTTTTCTCTTCCGCATTCTTCTTTACCGAATCTTCTTTCCATCTCCATCAACATTATCCCACAAAGGACTTGTGTCCATTAGCCTCCCGCTTCACATCACGCCCGCGCTCCCGACATACCGGATTCTCCTCGAACCCATTCCCGAATACGGCTCTGACGAAATACGACTGGCCAATTGCCTCGTCCATTCACCGATAGCTAGAGTGGAATCTGAGCTATTGCCTACTCTCCGAGTCCCGCCAGTTCACTGGGTTACTCGACATCACCGTTGGCTACACATTTTCCCTCCACCACCCCAGGCTCGCTCGAGAGTCCTTCGTTTCGTTCTCTCACGTCGGGAACGACCCACGAGACTCTCATTCGCGGCTTGCGCAGTTCCCAGTTCAAACCGCCAAGCTGGCTTCTCCGACTCTTCTTCAGCCCACCGTCTCTTACGACGCTAGGACGAACCCCCCTCGCTCTGGTAGCACCTACCTCGACATGGACGATAAGAACCTCGGTCGTCGCAGACGCTCCAGCAGCATCCTTCAGGTCTATCACGAACCCCCAGAGACGCTCGAGCAAATCTCTGACCAGGCTGCCCTTCCCAATCTCAATGCAAACTGGACCAACGCAAAGGGTACGCCAAATTTACCTCCCCCCATCACCCCCCGATTCGCCTTGACACGCTCGCATACTGACTGCCTCTATAGGAGCGTGGACCATTCATTTCGTTTTGATAGCATGTCTCAAGATCTTTTACGATGTCATTCCCGGAGTCTCGCAGGAGACATCGTGGACGCTGACCAACATTACCTACATGGTCGGCTCTTACATCATGTTTCACTATGTTCGAGGAGTCCCCTTCGAATTCAATAGTGGCGCCTTCGATAACCTCAACATGTGGGAGCAAATCGACAACGGTGCTCAGTACACGCCCACCAAAAAGTTTCTACTTAGTGTCCCTATTGTGCTCTTTCTCCTGAGTACCCATTATACGCACTACGACCTTGCCTACTTTATCATCAACTTCTTGGCCGTCTTGGCCGTCATTATCCCCAAGCTTCCCTTTGTAAGTGGCTCTCGACCGTATTGTGTGTCGTATCTTGGCCTGCTCTGCGGAAACGGGCCATGCTGCACCTCTCTGCGTGGCGCAAAACCTTGTCAGTCATGAAAGCTAACGTGTATGCAGAGCCATCGCATGCGCTTTGGCCTCTTCTCAGGTCTCCCCGAAGACGAGTAAAGTTGACATTGGTGTCAAGGGTCTTTACTGGCAGCGTGTCAAAAGATTGTAATTCGAGTTGGTTCGGCTGGCAAGGAACCGTGGCGATGGGGGACACGGGGAGTTGAAAGAGGGCATTTACATATAGCGAGCATTATCCTTTTTGTGGCTTTTTTTCTCCACTAGAAGAATTTTTCCATCTATCATGCTTTACTCGCTCATCTGTGTTATTAGCGTCTTTTATGTGTCTAGCTCCTTCTCCTGGATTCGTAGCGCAAGCTTGTTCACGCGTTCAACCTGCCGGTGCTGTTTTGAGAGGAGTGACGACTGACGCGCATGCGAGATTTGGTCAATATGGTTGGTTGGCACGCGAAGATTTAATGTTTTTTCTCATGTTGAGACTTGGGCTAGGCAAGAGCAAGCTTTCTCCGTGCCTGGCCGACGCCACCTAGCCGTCGGCCAAGATGAGGGCGTCATTCATAAGGTTGTTGGCCTCTAGCTGTTGGTTTCCAGCCACCTGGGTGACAAGACTGATGGCCGCTTGCTCACCAGCTCACCACCGAAAAGCGGCCAACAGTTTTGTCACCCGCGTGCCAGCCACCTATGCCAAACTTAATTGACGTGTGGCTTGCTGTTGGCCGGGCGCCGGGTGTTTATGTGATGCGCGCCGGTCCATCCTAGCCGCGCTGAGGCGAAATCTCTTGTGTGAGATGGCGGGCTAGGCGGTGATGGCGTCCAAGACGAAAGAGTCTAGGTCATGCCATCTGCATATTGTTGGCTGGTATATGGAGATCTAACGCAGGAGTCTAGGTCACGCTATATGCGCGTTGTTGGCTTGTCCACGTAATGTGCAAAGTGATCCTGCTGTTCTATATAAACCCAGCCAGCCTCGTTTTCCCTCGAGTTCTCGTCTTGTCCTTTTCCCACCACCATCATCATTATTACCTTTGACCTTTTACTCTCGTTGATCTAACCCCCAACCCCCCCTCCCAACAACACACCTTCTTTCAAGATGCGCTTCTCCGCCGCCACCGTCTTGGCCCTCGCCAGCGTCGGCGCCGCCACCGAGCAGCACCACCCGGATCACCACACGGACCTCACCATCACCGTGCCGACCAGGACGGGCGCCGCGGCGTCCACGCCCTGCAGTACCGGCGAGCACCTCACTGCGCACTCTCATACCCCTCATCACACCCAGCACCCTCACCCCAGCAGCGAGGTCCAGCCCAAACACCACAGCACCAGCACCTACACCCCCGGTGTGGTGGTGTCGCACCATGACAGCACCACGACCTACCACCCGTCCCAGATGAACAAGCCGCACCCTCACCACACGCCGTCGGCCAGCCACCACCACAACCATGACCACACCACGAAGCCCTGCCCGACTGCTACCAAGTACCCCGGCAAGCCTCACCACAATAGACCTAGCGGTGGCGACAACAATGGCAATGGCAACGGCAACATCCACGGCCATGGCAACGGCAACAACAACGGCCCCGGCAACGGCAACAATAACAACGGCCCCGGCAATGGCAACAACAACGGCAACAACAATGGCAACAACAACAACCGCCCCGGCAATGGCAACAACAATGGCAATGGCAGGGGCAATGGCAATGGTGTTGGCAACGGCGACAACAACGGCAACAATGGCTACGGAAACATGGGCAATGGAAACAATGGCAATGGAAACAACGGCGATGGCAACAATGGCAACAACAACAATGGCAACAACAACAATGGCAATGGCAATGGCAACAATGGCAACAATGGCAACAACAAGACGCCCGTGGTCGTCACTGGCGCCGCCCCCAAGGCTGCCGGTCAGGCCGGCGCCGTTCTTGCCGGTGCCGCCGCCTTGTTCGTCGCCTTGTAAGCAGTGGTCTGAGTGCCGCCGCGTACACGAAAAAGAAAAACAAAAATGGCTTTCAATTGGCTTTCTTTTGATTTTTCACCAAAGTCGTCAAGTGGAGTAATGCCTGGGGTAAAAAAGTATTCTTGCATGTGTTGATAATTGAGGAAAGATATTTGCTGAGATGGGAGTTTTTGGCTTTTTTTTTCTTCTTTTCGTTGAAAAAAAAAGGTGAAGCTCCGATCGGGCTTATATTGGGTAATGGAAAAGATGTTTGGGGAGGAGAAAGAGGAGGGAGATGACAGGAAAAATTCGTTTTGACAAGAGGGCGGGTATTTGATAATGTAAATGGTAGATAGCTCCAGTGTCTCCAGTACCTTAATAATCATCTTCTTTGTTGAACAAATTTGCTTTGATTTACCGCGAGCCAGAATCGGGCGTTTGAAAAGAATCAGAAAAACCGACAAACGGCGAAAAACCGAAAAGAAAAAAAGAAAAAGAAAACGGTCTCTCACTGGTCAAAGTGTTGTGTCGTTGAAAGAGTGGGTGGGTGGCTTGAAAAAAGGGTGGCGCGGGCGCATCGAGATGAAGGAAGGATCTTGCAGATGGAAAAAAGGGCTGCAGGGGTTCGAGTTTCACCAGACTGGTACAAGGCTTGCACAGACAGAAAGGCTCGCGATACATGAGACAAAATGAAACAGGAAAGTACGGCACAGTGGAAGTTTGCTTGAACAATATTTCTATCAGTGTATATAGAAACTCGCAATCAAGGTCAACTGACCAAGACTAGAGCCAGTGGGATATCATAGCTTCTTGTACACAAAAAAACGCGGCAGGCATCAACACACTCCAAACCAGCCAGAAAGACGGGCATTACATCATGAGCAGGCACAGCCAGAGATCAAACAGAAAAAAGCCCCACATTACCACATTACCACATCCAACGTCTCGTCCGCCCATTTCTATCCTGTGGCGTCATGCGCCAGCGGCTCCGTTGAGACCGTCGTCGCTTGTCATCTCATTTCGGGATCAACCGCGACAAGACGGCGTACCCTAACGGCGCTGCCAAAACTTCTTCTTGGGCACAGTCGAGTCGGCAAAGCCAGCCTCGTTCTTGACGACGGGGTCGACGGGCTTGTTCTTGTTGCGCTTGCTGGCGCAGCAGCTGAGGAAAACGATGATGGTGCCAAAGAAGGAGGTGACGAGAGCGGCGACGACGCACCAAATGGCGGAGCCGTAGGTGGCACGGTTGCCGCGGACCTCGTTGACGCGGTGGTGGACGATGCTGAGGGCGGTCCAGTCGCAGGCGAGGACGACGACGGTGACGATGAAGGTGAGGCCCGAGAGAATTGAGGCGGCGAGCGAGGAGAAGACGTGGGTGCCGAGAACGGCGAGCAAGAAGGCGATGAAGGAGAGGACGGCGCCGACGGGGTGCAGCACCATGACGCGCGTCAGGCCAGAGGCCGTGTTGCGGCCGACGGAACCATTGTCGACCTCACCATCGATGCCGCGGATGAGCCTGAGAGGGTTGTAGCCGAGGTGGCGGTGGCAGTAGTCGGACTGGCCGCTGCGAAAAAAGGTGTTAGCAAGCGCGGTCGAAAATAATACTAGGTGTAAGTAGTAGATGGAAGCAAATTTGCGGGTGCTAGGGCCGTCTTGGCGTGGGAGCATTTTCAGCTCTCATCGCCAACGGAAATCTGCGAACAGGCGCGGGTGTGGGCTGCAAGATGAGCTCATGGTGGAGACAGGGGACAGGGGAATGGGCAACCGAGCTAGGCTAGAAGAGAAAGAAAGAAAGAAAAAGAAAAAAAGACAAAAGTTTATTTGGTGAATTTCAACTTACTCGTACATTTGGCAGTAGCCAAAGGAACCAAACGTCATGTCCTCGGTGTCGAGGCCGTTGCGGAATTGAACCTTGAGCAGCGCCAGGTTGTTGACAACGGGCGATGAGATGGAGGCGACCAGGAGGAGAATGGCCGTGACGAGCAGCAGCAGCGTGCCAATGTGGTGAACACCGAGAAGGATACCCATTGTGACGGTTTGTTGTTGTTGTTATTGTTGTTTCCTTAGGTAAATATGAGGTGTCGTTTGTTTTCTCTGGTAGTCTTGCTTTCTTTTTAGGACGACGTCAAAAAGAGGGCACGAGAAGGAGGAAAGGACGATGTTTCTTGTGCTGAAATTTTGCGTGACAAGACAGAAGAAGAAAGAAAATCAAAGTGATGAGGAAGTTTTCGGGGAGGAGCAGGCTCATATAGATATGTACAAGGACTGGGGGGAAGAAGCAAATGTTTCACGAGTCACCACAACCAGTGACACTGTGCACCGCTCAAGCTACCTAATGAACCAGGGCGGCCAGGGTTGATGCCTATTGCATATGGCCTAGTCTCGATTGTTCCCACCCAGCAAGGAAAACTAAAGAAAAAAGAGGCTAGAAGGAAAAAAGTAGACTGGGGTGGGGGACCGACCCAGCTGGAGGACAAGAGGGGCGGCCTCCTTGGTTGAACTTGGTACCAGTACTCCGTACGATCTCAGTATGCTAGTTACTGGTAGGTTAGTGTGGTTAGCTAACTACTTCGTAGGCAGGGACGGGACCACCGTTTGACCAGCGACCAGCCGGCAGTGAATCGTGATGTTGCCTTCTATTGGCATGACGTCTGCATGACCCAATTGCCGAAAAACTTGGGCGTGCACTGTGCAGCCACCATCGATCCTGGGCTTTGCTTCTTCACAATCCCCATCCAAATCTTTGCTATGAAACCTGCAGACCCAGCATTCTCTTCTGCAGCAGCGGCAGCAGCAGCAGCATCACGAATACCACCATCCAAAAGCACAATCGCTCGCAGCCCAAAGCAAATTACACAACATAAGAAAGAACAGCAAGGGGGGGGCCTGCAACCCAATGACAATAGGTAGGTAGCGAAAATGGGTCCTCGGTTGCCTCAGCGAGATGAGCAAGCCACCCCGTGGTGGATATGCATGTGTTATGGGGATCGACGTTGCAACCACGGCCCTCCAACCCTCCTATCAACTCACAATGACCGGTACCTTGACCGCTGGCCGTGGAACATTGTCCGTTGGGCAAGCGTGGCATGCTGCCAAGCCTGTGCCTTGTAGGCTTGTGTATGTGTGTGTGTGGTACCAGGACAACGCGCTCAGGTGTGTAATAGCTGAGTACCTAGCTGCTGGCGACCCAGTCAGTCAAAGCTTTTCTAGGTAAGGTAGTTAGCATAAACTTTCCAGCCAGGGCCCCCTTTCCCCTCCCCCCCTGTTCAGCGTAAAATTCGAGTTGCAACATGTCATGTCATAGTTCGGCAACGGTCAAGCCGTGGAGAACGACGTAGCAAAGCCACACCATCCTTGATTCTTCCTCGTGCAGCGCCACAATCCCCCCTTGCTTGCCATCTATCTATCAGTCTGGAATCTTCGCTAAATACCAGTTATCAACTTACTAGCGACCAATGCGAATCCAGGACATGCATTCCGTAACATTGACGAAGCCTCTTTCAGTTTAATGAGACAAGAATGACCCTCCCCCAAGACAAGATTGCCAGCGTGTCAGTGTTATTACTTAGTAGTAGTGGTAACTAGTGTGGTTCGGTTGAGAGCCGTGAGTTGCCTAGTTCTTCTTTTTTTCCTTTTCCTTTTTTCCGGAGTGTTCCACTGTTCCTTTCTTCCAATCACCAAGCTCCCACACACTGAAAAGAAAAGACATTTGGCCGGCTAACGTTAGTTTATTTAGTTAGCATGCTCGTCCCCCAAGCGGCAACCCCATTTTGGGCGTCGAAAGATGGCCAATGGGCATTAACCCTTTTCCTCGCTACTTCCCGTTGCTCTGCTCGAGTTTTTAATGTACTTGTCTACTGGCAGAATCCCGTGTGCCATGTATATTATGTTGCATTGTGCATTGTGTCCCTGCATGCCTCCCAATACCCTTCGGCAGCACCAGTAATTACTACATCTGACTCTCTGTTCTCTCATTGGGGGCCACTTTCACACTATGTAAATATTTACCTTGGCCAAGCCAGAAATGGCCCCATCACCGATTGACCTCTGCGCCGATCCACCACGCACCGACCGATGCCATTGCTTCTTGGCCCCCGTTGCTGTAACGCTGCGCGCGCCATGCTCGCAGGGCGTGCATGGCTAACATAGTACTTTCCAAAACTTCCGATTTCCTCAAGCTGCCGCTGCGAGTGATTTGGGCTGGAAAAGGTAAACGGTGCCCAAAAGAAGAAAAAAAAAAAAAGGCACGAGAAAATCGTGTCATGGGATTCGTTGCCACGCTCAAGTCATGACCTTTCCCTTGCTGATTACAAGTCGGCACTATTGCAGGGTCAAGGTATAAGGGTTTGTTTGTAGCCGGCAGGCCCCAAACCGGGCCGGTTCCCCTGCTGAACCACACCTTTTTGCCAGACAATTTTGGCCCGGTTGTGGCTGTGCTGCCCGTGCAGGCAGACGTGCACTTGATACAGCAAGCAAACACCAAGCATTCGAGTTGTCCGGGATGCACCGACCATGGTGAGGTCGCTCACATGTGGCAGACTCCGCCGCTTGCCCTTACTCACTTTCTTCGCCGCGGCTTCGGCACCATCACCACGACCGGATCGGCCATGGTCATCTGCCCCGGCATCGTCTGCTTGCGCTCCAGCCGCTGTTGCACACCGTCCCGCGCGGCGTCCGCCGGCGCCGGCTTGACGAGCCAGTGGCAGAGGCCCTTTCGCAGCAGCGTGTCGGGTAGCACCGCCCCGAGCGCCGTCGCCGCAAACGACCTGTCCGTCGCCCAACCCTTGGGCCAAGCGGCGTGCTCCGTCGCCTTGGTCGCCGCGTTGCCGTGGTCGTAGTCGCGCGCGAACCCAATCGTCAGCACAAACTCGCGCGTCTCAAAGTCGACGCCGGGCTTCTCCACATCTACCACCGGCGGCGGCGGCGGCGACGGCGACGCGTGCTCCTCGTCGTCATTCGTCGTCGTCGTCTGCGTCTGAAACTCAATCACAGGCTGGGCCGCGAGCTCTTGCAGGCTTTGCAGCTGCCGCGCGCGCTGTGCGGGCTCGATCCGGGGCAGCGATATGCGGCAGGCAATGGGGCTCAGACGCGTCAGCGTCGTGGCCGTGTCTTCGTTTCCCGTGACGGAAATGTATCGGTTCGCTTGGTGCTACACAGCTGTCAATCAGCATGACGGATGCCTCGACAGAGATTAGAAGCAGGATGCGCATACGTTTTCTCGCCGAAAAGTGTCAACGTGCCCGTATTTCTTCAGCACTTGTAATATCGAGCGTCGCTCGGCAAATGTAGACGGCGTAGGGGATATCATGATTCGTATTGACCGGCTGGCCAAGCGGCTGTGGATGCTGCGAAACGGCGCCTGCGCCATCTTGTCTCTATATCGTCGTCGATCGTACAAAATTGAGCTTCCTGGCTGCAAATGCGAGACTGCTATCGTAAATTTGCGAGCGCTACCGGCGACAGTGCTCGATAGAAATCACCACATAGTCTCATTAATGGGTGCTGGCGCAAACCCTTTCCTGGTCGCCTGTCACTGGGCACGAAAAAGCTAGTGTGGGGCTGCTTCAACGGCCGCCAAAGCAACCACCCTTTCGTTTCGCGTCCTTGTGTCTGCAAACGCGCAACACCCCTCACTGCTTTTGCAGACTCGACTTGTACCGCTCTCGCTACTGCATCATCCAATAACTTGTATGCTTTATTTTGCTACCACAGCAGCATTCTGGTAGCCGCTGTGGCTACCGGCGCGCAACCGTCTGGTGTTCTAGCTTCAATCTGACGCCTTTTCAACCATCTCCACAATGTCGACACCCACGCCGGCGGCAATGAAGCATGCCCCTTCGCAGCAGGGACGAACTCCTTCAGGTCAACAGGGCCGCACGCCGTCACACTTTCCAGCCGCCACGCCACCCGTGTCGACGCCCTTCAACGCTGCCCAGGCCGCCTTCTCCCCTCGCGGCCAGCACTCGTCGCCGCAGCATGTCAAGAGGTCGCCTGCCACCATGGGCATGGCGGGTCAATCGACGATGGCTTCTCTCAACTTTGACAGTCCCTCCACCGCGGCTGCTATGGGCGCTCTCGGCATTGGAAATGGCTTTGACATGGGCCTTGAAGGCGTCGCTGGCCTCGACGGCGTCAGCGCAGCCTACGCTAGTGAGGAGGAAAAGCTACGAAGATTAGAGAACATCATCAAAATGTTAAACGTATGGATTATGCCTAATTCTTGCATCAAGTTTGGATCGCTAACCCGGTACAGCAAAAGAAGGGCATGGTGAGCGAAGCCGGCCTCGAACGACTCGCACAACGACTCGGCATGGAACTCCTCTCCGAAGAACACTCTACACCTGGAGGCCACAAAACGAAAACCTTGGCCATTGCCGGCTCTGCTGTAGCTCTCGATATTGTCTTGGACAACAACATAGTCCAGAACGCGACTCTTTCATACCACGGAAACGCAGACTGCGTCACAAAACACATCGACGCCGCTAGCCAGATACTACTCAGAGACCTGCAGCTCCTGCCTGGTCAAAGCCCTCTCACAAAAACCCTAGAGAGGTTTGCCATGAATTTCGAGCGCCTTGCCAAGTTGGACAAGCTAAGCATTGTTCCAGGGCTGGATTGCCACGAGGCGCTGGCGAGCATGTATTCTAGTTTGGAGCGCTTATACGAATGGGACTTGGAGCAACTGCGCCGAGATCCTGCCATGGCTGGCAAGCCAGATTCCCTCATAGCGACTGCTGCCATGTGCACCAGGCACGGCAAGCCAGTTATGCATGAACGCGGCCAGGTTGGGCTGGCTCTACAGTACTGGAAAGAGACGAGGTTTATCGCACCGCCTGCTGGACAAGAAGCTAACAACAAGAGCAAAGTATGGTCGATGCTTCTTGGTTGCGCTGGAATTGATGGCGTGGGACTGCCGCCCGCTCGGGTGTCCGAAAACTGGATCTCCAAAGATATTGTCAAGCACGATGAACTAGGCCACACTCTGACTCCTCTCCTTGACTGGCTCGAGCCTGACCATGTGTCTTTACCGCAATCCGACGAAAACAAGGACGCCAGTATGGACATGCTGCAGGCTGACCTGTCGACTACGAGAGTCCCTCGCGTCATGTTCACAGCGACGTTTGATCCCCCCGTTATTCTTCCCCAGACCGAATGGGCGCGCCTTTACGCACTCGCGGGTGTCGAGCCGCCCAACATGAACCCGTCCAACGACTTCAACCGCCAGCCCCCTACCTTTGACGCTCTATTCTTCCCCATCACGCCAGGCACGCGGCAAGATCCCAGCGAAGCCCGCACGATTACTCGCCAACACCAGGTGCCCATGATCAACACGTACAATGAGCCTTTGATAAGAACGCATCAAAACAGCTTATTCATCTACAAGCCCATATACTCGCAGGAACTATCCGAGTTGCCATTTGGACATCCCCGCCAACTTGTCGACATGCTGCCGGTGCTCCGTCAGTATGCATTCTTGTCGACGTTGCTCGAAAGCAGCTTCAGCCGAGAGGATAGGACTGCTGTCGAGAGCAATACCGAGTCGGACACGCAGCGGGATGAAATCAAAAAGTCGCAGACGTCAACCATGAAAGACCAGCTCGCTACCTTTTTGGCCTTGGATGATAACAGCACAAAGGCAAGCAGTGGCGTTCCCGTCAGTGTTCCGGCAGACTTTTCAATGGATGTCATTCTCTGGGTCCATCCCTCGCCGCACATGCAGGTCGTCTTTCCTATGCGCGAGACGACGGCCAACATTACCCTGAGCATTCTGGAAGGAGGACAGGTGAAAATCATTCACGAAAACGTTCTCGGCGAGGAACCAGGCCCGATCAAAGAGATCAATGGAAGCAACGTCACAAGAGAGCATCTGGCCAAGGTGCTAGAACGTCTCGAGAATCTTAGCAAATGGGCCGAATGGATTCGATCTCGATTGTAAATTAGACTTTGGGAGGCGTCTACGACAAAATGCATCATGATATCCCTCGCCCAAGGCAGTCTAAAACGTGATGGTGAAATGCTTTCACTTGATTGATTTTGCTTTTAAACAAATGGATATCTACTGATAATGCTGGGGATAGAATGACAAAGGCGGCCTAGGAAGACGGTTGCATACGCGCCTTGGGCCACGTCGGCGTATCGGCAAACCACCGCGCCCGATACAAGGCTTGCGAATACGTCAGCCCCGGCTGCAGCCTGCCGTTCTCGAGCAGGTTGATGTGATTCGAGGTCACGTCCTGCCAAGCGGCCTGCACGTACAGCACGTTGTGGTTGCCGTCGATGCTGAGCGATTTGATGTCGGAGCGCGGCAGCGCCTGGCCGTCGGCGCCGACGCGACTGTCGACAGGCATGAAGCCCGGCAGGTACTTGCGCGCGACGGCGGCGCCGCTTTCAAACGTCTGCGAGTCAATATCAAAGACGTGCAGGTCCGTGTCGGTCGAGAAGAGCAGCTGACGGCGGCCTGGCACGCCCGTCACGTCGTGGCCGCCGTCCCACCATTCCGCGTACTCTGTGCCGTTCCACTCGGTGCCCAGCTTGACGCCGGCGCCAGCGGCGCTGCCCGTCACGTTGTAGAGGTACGTCGGGTTCGTCGACTGGAATGCGCCGCGCCCGTACCGGTAACCCGCGAGCGCTGGCGCCGCCGGCAATGCGCCCGACGGGTCTGCGCTGTTGCCCACGCCCCAGAGCAGCCTCGCCGCCTCATCCCAGACGAGCCCGTGCGCGGCCGGCAGCCCGTTGAGCGACTGCGCCGGCGCGGCGTTGGCCTGCAAGCCCGCCGATACGTTGAAGATGACGATGCTGCCGGCCGCGCCCGGATTCGTCGTGGCGATGGCCAGCTGCCCATCGGGCACGAGCTCCAGGCTGTGCGTGTTGGTCATGCCGTCCCGGTCGAGGCACACGCCAAACGTGACGCGCTTGTCCTGGCCGTCGCCGCTGCTGCCACCCGGCGTGTGGTTGATGATGAGCGCGGCCGCGTTGTAGATGCTCAGCACGCTCCGGCCGGAATTGGCCCATTTCGCCTCGGGCACAGCCGTCGGCGACTGGATGCAGCGGAGCAGGTCCGCGGGCATGTCGGCCTGCGCGGCGGCATCGGCGGCGCTCCACGTCCATGACGGTCGGCCGTTGACGTCGTGCACGACGATTTGCGCAGGGGCTGTGTCGTTGGCGTACAGCCCGGTAATGACCCGCGACAGCGCCATGCCTGTCGGCACGGATTGCAGAGCGCGAAAGGGGCCGCCGGGTGGTGAATGGCGGCGGGGAGCGGCGGAGGCGGGTACGAGGGCGCAGAGGAAGTATATAGCGGTAGACCGTAGAGAAGGCAGGTGTCTTTGCTGTGTTGATGACGGCATTGTGGGTGGTGACTTGTACGGCGAGGAGGCCGTAGTCTGTGTGGTGGTGTGTATAAGTTGTGGAAAGTGGTTGTGCAAGGACTCAAGAACGCGTGACGTATGAAAGCAGCACAATACTATATAGCCTTCTTTAAAACGATTGCAGTTGTTTCTCGTTTATCTGATTACTTGCGTAATCATGATGGGCGGCGCTGCCAATTTATAAATGATAATCTACGGAAAGCACTCAATACCCGACGGCGCATTCGCATGCGCAAAGCACCGAAATGCCCCGCCAATTGGGTCTTGGCGCTTCAAACTTGGCCAAAGGCATACGCAATGAGTTGTAAAATATCTGAAGCTCACCTAGTTGCCGTTTTAAAAACTCCGCTCCATCGGTTTGAACGGCAGAGAGAAGCGGAAGGGGGGGAAAAAGAAATAAAAAACTTGCAAGCTGATGCTCACACGATAAGTGCTGACGCTACTACTCTAAGCTATAGTAGCTAGTCGAAAGAAGCTCCGCCGCCGCCGCCGTGGCGCTTTCAGGTCTATTTAATGTATATGCAAGTTTTTTGATGACGACGCGCGAGGTAGCCAAAGAAAGGCCCAGTGCCGGGGAAAAAAAGCAGGGCTGGAAAATTATGGCTTTCTGCAAGCAAATCTCACCATTGACCGTTCTTGTTCTATTAGCGAATTGTCAGCACGGGAAAAATGTGGCTAAATTTAATCTATTCACTTCTTGCAATGTTTGTCGAACGATCTTGAGTTTTGCACATCAGACTAATTTAGACGCCACGGAAAGAAGGACTTGCAAAAAAGGCCTTTTCTCTTCTTTAACTTTTGGACACCAAGGCTCGGCAAACGGAAAACAATGAACTCAAGAAAAACTTGGCGCGACATCCTTCCCAGGTGAAGCAGCCGACGCGGCCGGCGCGGCCGACGCGGCGCCGGAATGTGGGCGTGGGACCTCGGTGGCTTCCCCAGCTCTATCAGAAAGGATGGGCCGCGTCAGACTTCGCCGGCATCTGGCAGCCGATGAAGCCGGTGTGGCTGTTTTTTTTTTTTTTTTCTTTGATCTGCGATGGCTATGTACTCCATTTTATCTGCCACGCGTTGCCATCATCTGCGATTAAATTGACGTTAAAAATAGAGCCCAGGGGCAGGTAACGGCAAAGATAGTTAGGTACCTTATGTACCTTGCCGTTGCGGGATCGTGGCATGACAGACGTCCTTGGCGGGGCTGACTCGCTGTTTGGGCCCCAAAGCCGGCAAAGTGGTCGGTTGACTTGGCGCCGCCGTCCCTGGGACCCCCCATATTAGACTCTGGATGAAAGCTTTAAAAATTTCCCGATATCGGGCGGTTTTCAAAAAGAAGTATTGATGATGAGGCATCAGCTCCGGGCGGAACAATTGTACAGGATTGCATCACAATTTTTTCTTTTGGTGGACAATGAGGTATACAAGTTTCAAGATGTGGCTGCTGATGTCAGTCTCAAAACTGAAATCTAATGCACATTTGGCTCTCACCGTTAGCTTCCTCTCGAAGCGGCGCCATTGATGCTGCACAGGTTGTGCTGTGTACAGCGGGCGCACCAATCAGTAGAGGACTCGATTGTCGAACCTGCAGCGAGGTGCGGTTTTCACAAAAGAAGATTAATTGTAGGCACAAGGACAAAGAAAAGGACGCTTAAGATGGTGTCTGGAGCGCAGGGACAGGCAAAACGAGACGTCCGCGGAAAGAGCTGTTTTCTTTTTTTGCACGAGGCGCCCCAGGCATTCAAGCGTCTCGTCAAGATTTCTATATTCTGTCATATATTTTACATGGTAATATACAAATGAACACACGCATACACAAAAAAAAAAAAAACAGCTACTCAGAATGGCTGGTCGGGGGCCCGAAAGATCTTTCTCAACGCACTCATAGCTCCCCTCCCATTGGTGCCTTCCATTTTCGCATTGCTAACGCAGATCCACCTGCCGTCAGCGAGCGGGAAATAGCAGTTGTCAGTCGCCCCGTCCAGCTTGACCAGCATCTCGTACCGCATGTCACTCGAGTTGACAAACACGGCCAGCTGCTCTCTTTTAAAGCCAGCCGCCTCGTCCGCGCTCGCCACCCTGGCCCTCGTGAACAAGACCCTGCGCACCGCGCCGGCGCGCTTACCCGCGCCCTGAACCACGGCGCGCGTCCACACCGTGTTGAACACGTTCATGTGCCGCATCAAATCGTCTGCGGTCCACGCCTTCCAGTCCACCTCCAGGTCTGCCTTGCTCGTCTTGGGAGCGTACTCGAGAGCCGCCTCATTGTTGTTGTTGTCGCCGTCCTGCGCGTGCGCCGCCGCCCACCAGCCGGCGTCGTCGTGCGGCGGGACGTGCAAGCCGGCGCGCAGGCCCTCGACGAGCATCGTCGCGCCGCGCGCCGCCAAGTCGCGCTTGAGGGCGTGAAAGGGCTGAGTCTGGTCTAGGGGAATGCCGGGCGCTGGCGTCTGCGCGAGAATGGTGCCGCGGTCAAAGGACTTGGGGGAGAGCGTCTGCAGCGAGATGCCGGTAAAGGTGTCTCCGCGGAGAAAGGCCCGGTGGATTGGCGCCGGGCCGCGTAGGCTAGTTTTTTTTCTTCGTTTAGTATAAATGCCCAGACGGAAAAGAAGAAAGGCGGGCGAGAATTTTTTAAAAAAAAATTTTTTGACTCACTGAGGAAGCAGAGAAGGATGAATATTCAAGCCGCCATACTTGGCGGACGACAGGATCCTTGGGGGCACAAAGAGCCCGAATGATACGGCAACGACCAAGTTGATACCTGTAGGCAGCTACTCGAATCATTAGATGCATGTAGCGTATAGACTTGTGCGTCAAGCTTACCGTCCAATCCTCAAACGACGGTCTCTCGTGGATCTTGAGCCCGAGCTGTTCAGCGAGCTCTTTGCAGGGCACTGCACATATTAGCACTCAAAATTGGGGACAAGCTCGTCCTCCGTCCAAGAAACCCAAATCACAAGGGCGCGAAATCAGAGTCACATACCTCGTGCGGTTTCCGTGAGGCCTCGGCCAACCTTTTTTCCCGGCACCACCATGACCTCAATATCCTCCACCAGCCCCTTGTTCGCCAACTGCTCTTCATGCAGCGCCTGGAGCGACGCGCAGCTAAAAGGGTCGGAGCCGCAAAACAAAATCTTCAAAGGGTCCGATACCCCCTTGGCCAGCACCCGGGACGTGGCAAAGCGGCGCCGGCTGCTGCTGCTGCGGGGGGCTGTCGTCTGCGTCTGCAGCTGGGCGGCGCATGCCCAGGCAAGACGATGATGCTGGCAGACCCCCCCAGACGCGGCGGACAGCGCCACGCGACGCAAGCTGTACATGAACATGACTGCGAAAATCAATTCGAACAAGAAAAGGACAAAGCGGCGGGATGCGTCATGAGGGAGAATGGAATGCACTCTCGGTGTCGCTTCTTGGAACCACTCTTTCGCGGCATGTAGTTGACGGATGAGGTTTCCAGACAGGAGAGCTTGGCGGCTAATTAAGTTTGCGTTTGCCGCAAGCCCGCTTTAAGTGCATCATCACACACCCCATCAGCATCCCAATTTTACACAATGTAAAAAAAAGAGGCATAATTTTGTTTTTTAACTCTTGTACTTTTTACTTACTCTTCATAAAACTATGCACATCTATTTCTTGGTTTTAGCTTTTATACTTTTCATTTACTCTTCATACAACTGTGTATACCCAGTTCTGCCGGTTTCAACAGCATAATCTAAAAAGGGTGAAATGATTTCGTTCTTAACTCTTGTACTTTTTCATATACAGTTTATAGAAATGTTGCATAAACATGCCCCCATCTAGCTCTCCATTGACTCAACACTCCAATCGCACGCCACCGTCCACTCCTCCTCTCCCAGATGCACATTCCACGCCGGCGCCGGCATAACCCGCAGCACGCTGCCCTGCTTGACCATTCTCGCACCTGCTCCTCCTCCTCCTCCTCCTCCTCCTCCTCCTCCCGCGAGCATGTAGCACCGCACCACCACCTCGTCGCTTTCCGCCGCCGTCGCCGCCGGCCCGCGACTCAGGACCCGGCCCCGGACAAGATGCATTCTCGCGCCCAGCCGAACCTCCTCAACCAGCACCCTCGCAACAACGTCCCCCGCCGGGCCACCGCCGCCGCCGCCCTCGTCGTCGTCGCGCGTCTCAACAACACCCTTGACCTTTGAGAGCAGGCCCTGCAGCTGTGAGGCGAGCCCGCCCGCGAGATACTTTGCGCCCCGGCGCGGCGGCGGAGAGCATGGCGCGACGGCGGCGGTGCAGGCTTGGCCGCCGGACGCAAAGGGCTCGTCCTCGGGTGCGGGCTTGAAGCGCGGCGCCGGCTGGAAAGTCGGCTGCTGCTGCTGCTGCGCGGCAACGCGTGTCCTCCTCGTCTTATCTTGGACGACGTCTTCATCGTCTTGCTCCAAGTCATCATCTTGCTCATGATGGTGTCCCCCCGTGTCTGAATCGTACGCCGCCGCGATGACCATGCGCTGTTCCGTCGATGAAGCTGAAGCCGACGACAATCGAGGCCTCTTGACCGGCTTCGGCGTGCCCTCCTCCTCATGTCCACGAATAAGCTCCGCATGCACATCATCCGTTGTCACACCATCCTCTTCAACAACTTCATTCCCATCACTCGCGTAGCCGCCGCCTCTTGATCGTCTCTCATCGCCATCATCTTCATCCATGTCATGCTCACTGCTGCTGCTGCGTCGCTCCTCTCGCGACGTCAGGCTGTCCTCCGCGCACGACGAGTCCACCTCGACCGAGTTCAACAAAGCCATGTCTCGCTCCTCGGAGCGCGGCCGCTTCTTGTTGTTGTTCGCGCTGCTCTGCGACGACTGCGACGACGCACCGACATCATCATCAACCTCCTCGACATCCTCCATCTGCCGCGTCGCGCTCTGCGTCGAGCCGAAGCGCGGCGTGGACTGGAAGCGCATGGGCGTCGGCGTCGAGTGTGGGAGAAGCTGCGACGATGCGGGGCGTTTGGTCAGAAAACGCCGCGGCGTTGGCGTCTGAAGAGTTTTTTGTCCCATGTGAGCCTTTCAAGATGTTTGACAAGTTGCAGGGAGGAGGGACGGTAAAATGCGGCTTAGCAAACTCACAGATGGATGAGGTTTCATCATGAACAAAATATGAGCGATGCACGCCAAAGATGCCGACGTCTGGCCAGGATCATCCGTATCGCATATTGTTGAATTAGTAGTAACAGCCCGTGTATCAAGTTTACATTCAGCAGAAAAGGATGGGCCAAGACGCAGCAATTCACGCGTTTCGTGAGATTGGTGCGGGTTGATGATGCTCAGTCCTAGTTGCGAATGGGTACGGCATCAACTAAATGTGCGCTGCTAACTAAGTGGGGAGCGCACCCAAGTCGCAGCATACCTAGTCTCACTCTGTCTATTCTGCAAATAGTCTGCCAATTATCGTGTCTATTCTATAGTTCTACGGTCATCCTATAAAGCATTTTTAAAACCCAAAAGTACATTTATAACACTCCTGCGCGTCCTGCCCTAAACATGGCAGAGAAAAGGACCAGAAACTCGCCGTCAATCGTTGCTTACACAAGAAAAAAACAAAAAAAAAAAAAAAAAAGAAAGAGACAAAGATAATTGGGAGAACGAAATATAATATTGAAGAATGACCAAGGCCAGGCTGTGTGTAAATGCCTCGTTCGATTCGGTCGCACGATGTAAAGCTCCAGAGCTTTGCGATGGCACCAGCTGCGAGTGTAGACCAACTGAGGTTTTGGTGTAGTTACCACGTACTCCATTCGAAGATGCGTAGGAAAGGAAAAAAATCTTCAAGGTGAATAAAGGTGTTTCAAAGATTGAATTCATGGCCGATACGATGAAACAGGAGGTCAGCCATACCCGAGGTTAAATCCAGTGGCATGGCCCTTCTTCGTCGGCTCCGGATCTTTGACGGGATGAAGCATGATGGAAGGAAGACATGGACGCCCATTGTCCTGCTCCCACTTGGCGCCGCCAATTCCGGTATCCTCCCAGCCCATCCAGTTGTTGAAGAGACGATTGGGAGGCTCGGCGCGATAGTACCACGTGGTGCCCTGGTAGCGACGCTCACGACCCCAGCCCATTGCGCTGCCATAGCCGCCCGCAACGCCGCCAGGCCCTGCATTGAACCACTTGTTGACAAAAGCACTGGTCCATTTGCGGTCCATAAAAACTGGCTGAGGTGCAAAGACGGCCTTGAGTCCGTGATGCAGCGCCACCGTTTGAGGAGTCATCTCGGAAGCCACATGGTTGCCTCGCATATTCTCTGTATGCATCAAGCTGAGCAGGCGCTTCGATATGCGAGAGTGAGTGACAATCGTCGTCCGTCTTGGAATGTCTTCTTTTCGGTGGTTGTCGTCGCTGTAACCCCAGACAAGGTTGCTCATAATCCACAGGCTGTTGATTGGATTAAACATTGGGCCAACCGTAATGATGTCCGCATCTTCTCCCACCCCCCACTCGTAATTGTCTTCAGATGGTGTCGACGGCGGCTTTGGTCCTTGAGGGTTGATAAACGGGAGGTCGGGAGGACCCCACACAATATTGTCGCCATACTGTTGTTCAATCGACTTTCGGAAGGTAGTGTCGTAGTCGCCGTGATATTCAGGAACGTACCAACGCTCGTTTCTCTCCCAAAGGCCTTTGCGGGGCTGCTTCCGGGCAAACTTGTGTATATTGTCGAGCAAATCATAATGGTGACCAGTGTAGCGAAAGTCCATTTCCCAATTCCAAATGTACTCAAATTCAGGGTGGTCGTAGCTGAACTTTTGGACCGATAACCATTGAGCATTGTGCACATCTCTTTCAAAGTCATCACGCATCTCCGTGTAGATTTCGTTGACACTTTGATCGTTCCAAAGGACGGTGATTCCGTGAAATTCGACAGGAACATGCTCGGAAAGAACTTGGCGATAATCTGTTTGACTCCCAAAGATGTCCTTGGAAGCATCTTTGACCTGGAGGAGTAGAAACACTTCGTATTCGCCGCCTGATCTGAGCGCAAGCTCGGTAATAAGGGCGCGAATATTTTGTTTGTCGTTTTCGGTGTATCTTTTGCCGGTATAAGAGCGTAACAGGAGGGCGGTGCGGTTCTCTTTCTTGTACCGCGATGTGGCCTCGACGGTCATTGTATCGGACCACCCTGCGTCTGTAGACTGAGAGTCTCCATTTTGAACGTTGGATAATGAACGAGTTTCGCTATTGCTATCGATGGAGATTTGCGTTTCCTTAGTCGTCGACTTGGCAGCAATGAATCGCTGCGTCTCAGGGTAGATGGCAAGATAGGGGTTGTCGCTGCTAACATCTTCCCTAAATCGTTTTGCGTTGCTCTTTGTACAGCTTCGCTGCAGCTTACCCCATTCGACCTTGTCCCATTGCAGGGGCTGCAAGCGGCCACCGACTTGCTTCGTTTGCTCGAGGAGACCATAGGCGCCGAGTCTTGTGTCGCGTTCCCAGCAAATATTAGGATCAAGATTGAGGGCTTGGTAGCTGCCCATAAGGTGCGTGGGAAAGTTCTTCGGGCGGCCTTTGAATACTACAATATCGTCTATGGGCCTTCCATCCGCACCTTTGCACGCGACGTAGGCTGCGTAGCCGTCGGTCTGCCACGCTTCGCTGTTGTAGCTAGGGTATGGATCAAAACGGACCGGTTCATCCATGCTGTAGCTGACTTTGATGCTAGAATCGGGGTTTTCAACGAGCTTTCTGGCTTGCTCTTCGGTCCGATTCTCCTTTTGGGTCAGTGTAGCCAAGGTCTTGCCATATATTTGGTTGGAGCTTTTGAGACTTTGTATCGTTAGCACGGAAAGAAAATTGCGACATGTCCACCTTACTTGGCAGTTGCCCGATAAAGATATCTCCAAATCTTCCGCTTGTCCTTCTCGTCCTGCAAGCGACTGATCTCGTCAAAGGATCGTTGAGTGCCGTCTTGTTCCGTACCAGGTTGCACTTGGTTTGGATCTTCTGGGTCGTCAGGATCGATCCAATGCTTGATGTCGCTGGCACTGAGCTCCAGATCAGGGATAACAGCTTCGACACCGTTCTTATTTGTTTCTAGTAAGGGCTTCTCCGCGCCGAAAAGGCCTGCGCCATATCCGTTTTTGTTGACATAGGGAACAATCCGCAAATCCGCTGAGCGGGTAAAGAAAAGAAAACACGTTGCGAAGGCTAGGGCGGCGCCGAACAATAGAAAGCGAGGTTTTAAGCCCGGACGCCGCGAATGGCTCAATCTGTTGGGACGAAGAACCATTTTGTACATCTCGCACCGGACTCGAGGTTTCTGTACGTATTGAGACGGTATCGCTTGAGGATCTCCAATCAGGCAGTCGTCGCGGTGTGTGCGCACAGAAAAGGGAAATAGAGATTCGAGGAGTTTCAGGTGTTGATTCGTAAAATTCAAGGTGCTGCAGGAAAACGAATGTTATGTTGGTGCAAACAGCGATACTTGCTGTCGCTCAAGCTTGCAGCTGGCAGGAAGCATGTAGGCGAAGAAGCCTACCAAGACTCGACACGGAGCAAGATGGTTTGCTAAGCACGCTCCCACAGTTCTTCCTACCCGTCTGCCTTATGAAATTGTTTGTCAGCTTTTCGATGGATAGATGAAAGAAGGAGGAATCAAGATATCCAGAAGACGGCTTCACTCGATCTCCGTTTCGGGGCTTATGTTGGCATGCAAAGCTGGCAGCCAACGAGAACTCCTGTTGGTAATGTACAAAGCGTGTGCATATAAAAAAATGAGGGAGAGATGGTGATTTTGCGTGTTAAGGGTGTAATTGCGCTTTTTTTATGAAGAATCAGGCCCGAAATGCTAATCGTTCGCCAAAGTGTTTGTTTGGCAACAGGAGTCAGCAGAAATGAATGAAAAGTAGGACGAAAGAAGAAAGAAACTGAGTAGATGCTGGTGTGACGAGACGGCTTGAATCGACGCTTCTCTGCGGGTACTGTTTCTTATCCAACCGCGTTGTCCAACAAAAGGTGGCTTCTCTGCCCGCAATACTTGACAGGTTGGCTGGCCCCTGAGGATACGTATGGACATGGAGAGACGGTAATGGGAAGGGCATACGTAAACAGAAAATCACTGGACCCAGTTCATGTCTGGTGTTTCTTCTTTTGGAGACTTGTGCAGACGATCGGTTCGAGATTTGTGCAGGGAACAATGAGTAGCTGGCGAGGGCGGATAACGCCACTGCAGTCAAGCAGCGTGCGTCTGCGGCGACGACGCCTGGTATCGTCATTGGCCTCGTCAAATACATGATTGCTAGCTGTTATCTCCACTGTCGACGACGGATAGTGGCCCATGGGTATTCATTCACAACGTCTTGGCCCTTGGCCCGGAATCGCTTCTCTGTCTTGGCCCACATGATAAGTTCCACCAGGTCCCGCTTGCGCTGGTCGCAATATGGCGTTGGTTCGTTCGGGAGTAATTGCACAGGGTCCTGGCAATAACTGGGAATGTGACGGCACGGATGTGTGCCTTGCAGCCGGCTGCTTCGTGGTGATGAAGGTCCCTTTGAGTTTGGACCATGGCGAGTGTACTCGACCACCACTTTGGATCAGCCTTTTCACAATTCTTGCGCGGCACTTTCGAGTAAACGACTTGAGCTTTATTACAGTGCGCATTCTCATATATGCAATGGATTTACAGACTTCGACTCAGGGAAAGTAACCACGTTTCACTGCTTCAAAGGGTGTGTAACATGGAGATATGAATACCCACGACGGACCTCTACCCAAGGCGCGGGCGTCTCCTACTGAACAACAAGCGGCCGGAGCAGCAGTGAGCGCACCAGATGTTGCGATTTGGTGGTAGGTAGCCGCAAAAGCGCACAACAGAATTAGCATAGGTGGTTAAGGAAGTGCAGAGACTCAAACTGTAACCAGTTACTCCGTAGTGGATGCAAAGATGAGTTGACGCATGATCGTCAACTTCATGACAGGGATTTCCGCTGAGCCCCAGCAACTATTGCCCGGGCAGCTGTGACTGAACGACTGTTGTTACATACCAGTACGGATACATCAGATTGTCAGTCAGTGAGGGGTGGTGGGGGGCTGAAAAGTAGGAAATACATGCTTTTGAGTGTTTGCTCCGGAATGATTGATAAACTGACAATGCGAAACGAGTGGACGTCTTTGATCAGCTAATCAACATGTTCCAAACTGCGTCTGACATATATATGCATGCGCATCCAGCACCTTTCTTGCATGATAACTTTCTCAGGCAAAAATCGCAGCTTGTTCCCCTTTCGTTTTCGTGCATTCTCTTTGCACTTGTGGCTAATTGGTCGGCAGTAGAAGCTTACGCGTTCATCTTCTCGCAGGTATCAAGCCCACGAGTAAGGGCATGCATGATGCCTGCATGGCTGCGGTACAACGCGCGGCGTTGGATTTTAGAGTTTCAAGTTCACGCTTCTTCTAATCCGTAGTTATTCACTTTATGTTGGCCTTCCCTTTTAGTTGGGGTGTTATTTCGACAAGAATACCTAGGTAGGTAGGTAGTGACTACGGCGGGCCCACATGCCCCAGCTTCAGCGTCGGGGATCAAGGTGCTCCATACCTATATTAATGCACTTGAATTCGTTCTATTACTCCGAGTAATAAGAGTAATAGAACGAATTCAAGTGCATGGGGGCTGCGATGTGCATCTCTCTAGCGAGCACAACATGAAGTGAACATGGTATTACTCGACGAATACAGGCAGATTCAACGCTTATCGAGAAACCTTGTGCATCTTTTTTTTTTAACAAGGATTATCCTAACTACCGAGGCACGGTCGCAAGCAGGCTTCAAGAGCCTCAGAATACTGAACGACTAATTTTCAAACATGCCATGTTGCGCAACACGTGTTGTTGCCCAATTGCTGTTTACGGCAAGGATGCGATGATAAACAAATTGGCTCATTTACTACGAACATTGATCGTCAATCGCAGACGTGTCATCAATTGACACCATCACGACTATCTGTACTCAGCAGATGCTTGCATCATTGCATGCTAGCAAGCAGCTGCCAGCCACCGATCACAATCTCCTCTAGTGGGATCGTGGCAGGATGTGCATCATGTGATGGTGTGATGAACATGAGGCGGTGGTCTACGCGGTGGCTATGCTATCGTGCTCCGTAGCTGGATAAGAAAAGGGAATAGTTTTAAAAGATCTGCATAGCTTGAAATGACGTATTACTCCCTTTTTTTTTTTCAACTGTGTGAAGCCTCTGCTGCTCTTTTGCAACGAGGCACTTTTTGTAACCGCCACGCACGCCATGTGTCTAGCATCAAGAACAATCTGTTTGATTCGACTTGTACAAACAATTTGCTCACACATCAACTGAGGTTGCTTCGAAAGTTGACCTGATGGTGTACCCATTGGCATGATAAAAGAGAGAGACGGGGCTACACATCACCCGAGGATTTAAACAGACACCTTCACCCGAACGAGGGTTTGACACCTCATCCGAGTGTGGGGGTAGGTCGGCTCAACTTTCGAACCCAACCTCGCCTCATCAACATTCTTTCGACGAAACCACTACTTGACGAATTCTGCAGCAAAGTAAAGTCAACTCTTACTTCACCTCGGTCGAGGTGTCGCCAGCATGCCGCCAAGATTTGGCCAATGGGCAAGCTGAGAAAGGGACTTTGACACCACTTCAAGCTGGTGTGCATCCAATCATCTCAGGGCCAATCAACACGGAGGAAGAGGACAACCACCCTCGGGTCAACTGTCATCAACCTCAGCAAGGGGTACAAACTGTGCAATCTAGGCCAATCAGGGCACATGAACATGCTCAAAATTCAGTTGAACATTTTCGCAGATTGAGACCACATCAGGCACTTATGGGTGCAAGATCAAACGAGGGGTTGAGAACTGAGGGCTCACTCTCGGAGCCAAACAACGCGCAAAGGCACACACTCAGGTCAAACTTGCAACGCAGACTCAGCGAAACGGTCACTACGAATAATGTCGATTTGCTATTCCGCGGGAAAAAGCCGTACCACATTGTCATCTGCAACTACAACTACTTCTCCTCGTCACTGCCCCTCGTACTATTAATGCGAGCCTTGAGTGTACAAGCAATGCGCATTCACCACATGATTCAGAAAAGAATGCATAATCACGATGCGTGCTTTGATTACGAGACGCAAAACACAAAGTAATCAATTGCCGACAGGAAAACAAAAAAGAGTCTTTACAAGGCAAAACGATACTATGCTAAAACAAGAACCACCTTACCAATGATAATACGGACTTGAGCTACCACCATGATGATGCAAGCAGATCAAAAAGAAAACAAAGAAAAAAGTATCATCATCATCTTCTTCTTCAATAAAAAGAAGCCAAAAACCCAATACTATAAAGATATATGCTTCTCCACGAAAGAAAGAAAACCCCTCTCTAAGGCGAGGGATGCTAGAAAGAAGACTGGTCAATGACTGAAGAAAACGTCTTGCAAAATATTTCTCACTTTCTTCTAAAAAGTATAACGACACTATTATAATTAAAGAATCGGGGGGTATCATTAAAAAGACGTCAAACAACAAACTGCGACTCTCCAAGCCGCTTCGAGACCCTGTGCCCTGTCCAAGACTTGATTTACCACCATAATGTTATCGGAGCAGCGCCCGCCCCCTCCGGCAGTGACAACTACATCATGCCAATACGTGTCATGCGCTTGTTCATGCCACGAGGAGCCACGCCATACGGACCTCTGTCCATGCCGGCACCTACGCCACGGGTGGCCAGTCCTCTGCTGCCCTGGGTGTTTGTCGACGACAGAGTACCGCTAGGTGTCAGCGGCCGCTGATTACTGATTTGACCGAGATTATTGGTGCTGCTGCTGCTGACATATTCGGCCGCGGATGGTGTCAGCGCCAGCGCTGGCGGTGTCTCACTCTCCACGCGACGCCATGCATCGCGCTCGCAGTACGACTTGCCGTCCACCTCAAAGTAGCCGTCCGACAGGGATTTGCCGCAGTCGAGGCAGCGGAAGCAGCCAACATGGTACTTGACGCGCGCCTCGTCCTCGGCGTACTGGCCCTCGATGCCGCGGTCGCACGCGCCGCACAGGCTGCCGTTAAGCTTGTGGTAGTGAATCTCGCAGTAGGGTCTGTCGCGGTGTACGTAAAACTCGGCCGACGAGAACGGTCGAGTGCATGTCGTGCAGACGAAGCATGCCTTGTGGTACTTGCCCGTCAGCCGACCGTCGGCCGACGAGATGCTCTTGCCTGTGATGGGCAGGCGGCACGCCTTGCAGTCTCCGCGCGACGGCGCGTGCAGAGCATCACGGGAAGCCAGGCGGGCAGGCGGCGGCATTGGCGCGCCGTATGGACGGTCATTGCTGCTGCTGGCGCCATAGCCACCAGCGCTCAAGCTCTGCTTGGGCGATGAGTCGTAATGATTGCCGCGGCTGCTGCCAGAAATGCCCGATTGGATGGCCGGGTCGTAACGATCATCCCGAGGAGACGCGCTATAAGGTGATTCCACAAACCGCCCAGGCCCGCGCGTGGGGGCTTGAATAGCAGGGTCGATGCGAAGCTCGGGGCGCAAGTTCTCGCGTCGCGGTTCCGTAGCCTTGTCGGGCATCGAAGACTGGGGGGGCTGTCGAAGTCGGCGTGCGCCCTCAGAGTTGTTCCGCTGCATGAAACGATCCGTTCCGTTGCTCACCGACAGATTGCTGCGCTCGCTGCGAGACGAGTAGCCCGAGGACATGGAGTCGTGGGGGGTGTGGTAAGGATTGCGAACACCAAACTCCTTCTCGAGATCAATGGAAGAGGTACTACCACTTTGCTTGATGAGACTTGTGCGAGGTGGAGGACGTCGCGAGGTATCGGGTCCCATGGAAGGCCTGTGGTTGGCATCGAGACCTGGTCGCAACGGCGCTGACGGAAGACGGTGCAAGTCAGACTGTGGGCTAGAGCCTGGCGATCGACGTCCGGACCTGTCCTTTGAAATTTTAGGGCGCGGGAAGGTTTCCGCGCGCGGTATACCCCGAGTGCCGTTGAATTTCGATACCGGCTCGTTTAAGCCGCCGTAGCCATTTTGTCTTACGGGCTTTTGCTTGTTGTTAGTGGAGGGAGCAGCGGTCAGATCAGCCGGGAAATCCAGCTTTTCCAGAGAATCGTTCCTTGAAGGGAATGCGGCCTTTTCGGGAGCAGCAGGTCGACGGCCAGCATCGAAGGCGGCACCAGCAAGGTCGTTGATACGTTTCAGGAACCCAGATGCCTCTGCAGGAGGCGCTTGCTCAAGTTGTGCTTCAGCCGGCTTTTCTGGCGCGGCAGGCGGCGCAGGAGCCGGCTTAGCGGCCACCTCGACAGGTTTTGCGCCGAAGCCTCCATATCCAACTGCGAGTTCGCCCATGCGTTGAAGTAATGTCGGTGCAAGGGCTTCTTTTGCAGGCCGCTCCGAAGTCTCGGTGCTCTCTGGTTCTGGTATCTGGTTGCCGAAGCCTCCGTAGCCTCCCGGTCTACGGCCGTAACCTTGGGGAGATCGCTGGCCTTCTTCTGTGCTGGCGATTTCCGGAGCATAGTCGTCGCTGTATCTTCTGTTTAGCCCTGAGCGTCTGCGTGGCGTTTTGGGCGATGTATCGCGGGAGCTGCCAGAGGGGCTCACTGGTGTGAGCTGGCCTTGCTTCAAATATCGGTCTGGACGTGTTAGTAAAAATGCCACGTGCGATTCAAGCTTGCACACAGTAATGGGAGGTATAGGCATACTTGCGGCTCCAGTATCTACTGAAGGTGGTGTTCGTAAGTACTTGTTGCGCGTGGCTTGATATGCGCTTTCAAACGTCGCCTGGGCGTCTAGTGGCGGCGACACTGTAATTCCGTCAGCATCTGCACAGCTTGTCTGGGCCCGGAAATTCCTACACTCTGGAGTTGTTGGCTCATTGCACAAATGCTCTCCCATCATGGAGATTTCCACTTCATGTCCGCATTGTGAGCACTTGATGGTCGGCAGAAACGCAGACTCTCGCGGCAAGGCCATGTTGTGCTGGTCGGCCCTCGCCGGTCAATACTTTGGGGTGAATACAAAATGGCGTCAAATATGGTATTATAGCTTTGCGAGTCTGTGCATTGGATCGTTCGGGATCCCAGTGAATTTGCCAGTCGTGTTTGCGAGGAGCGTTTGTATATTGGCCCTTTGCTGGTGTTTTCCCCCTATTGGCAGTCGTGTAGGTAATTCGACTTTCCGTCCCTCTTTTGATTTTCTATCAGACAAAAGAAAGAAGAAAAAATGACAAGTGGTGGATTTGAGATGCAGAAAAGCCGTTTTTGTTGTTGATGAGCAGACTCGAAGGCTTGGCTGGAATAGGGACGCTACCAGCGAGATAGGTACTGTAGGTAGGTGGTAGGTAGGAAGAATGGTGGACAGGGTGGGTGCTAAAGATTAATCCAGGCTGCAGCAGATTGAAACGAGGCGCGCATCAAACAGGAAACCACAAGAAAATTCCGAGAGTGGTTGTGTAGCACAAGATTGATGGCAAGAAGCAAGAAGTAGGAAAAGGAAGGATTTTCTTTTGGAAACAAGGTCAGTTAGAGAGACAAGTTTTGATGATGCGAATAGTGTCTCGAGTGCGGAGTGACCGGGAGTGACTGCTGGACTGGGGCAACTCAGGCCAGGTGGAGTCCCCTGACCCTGAGTCTGGTGGGTTCGCTGTTGATTGACGACTTGACTGACACTGAGTAGGTACGAATAAGTTAATAGCCCACTGTGCCCCTAGTCGATAGTTGCACCCAGCATATTTTTGGTCTGCCATGTTCGTGTGCACGGACACGACAATGACGGTTGTGTAGTTTGTACTGTGCTGTGTACGAGAATTTAGATGTTCAGGCCGCCGGTGCGAACGGTGGGCGGCGACGGTGCCGGACGGACATTGACATCACAATGTGCTCAGTACAACAGTATTAGCACATTAATCAAATATACGTGCTCTTGAACAATCACGAACTTTCCGAGTTGTACTCGTGCCCTCTATCCCGTTGCTAGACTGCAGCCGCTCCGGCGCTCCTTGTCATGTGCCGTTCACAGAGCGCCAACCGTCAGATGTGTGCTCAATTAATAACTAGGTATCTAGGTAATCCATAGTAGACTGGCAATACTCTGTAGAGACATTCTCGCCCTTTGTCCCTTGCTGCCTGGCAGGACGAGCCAAGACACCAACAATCCACCACCATTACAGCGATTATTACCCCTCCACGGCCCAAAACTTACTCGCAGCTGGTAAATATTAATAGTCTTCAGACAAGAAAAAGAGATTAGACCATCCAAAGAGATTAACCGACAAGGCTGCATGTCCACTGTTTTTAATGTTAGCGCCGCTGGGACCTCAGCCCGGCCGGTACCTGAAATTGCACGGACATGGCGCGCATAGCGCATGTTCTATTTATTTCATCAGGCACATTCTATTTAGCAGTCTTCATCATCTCGGGCTGCCCTTGATTAGATGTAGTGGGCTACCCTCGTGTCGTGTCTTCTTCACCCACCATTATAAAAATAAGGGATACATGTATTAATTACGGATACTTGTCATGAGGGAACCTTGACCATGTGTTCAAAACAGTTGCAATGTGTCAAAGAAGATGGACTGCCTAGCTTGCGTAGCTCTTGACAAGTTTGCGCCTTCAATGAATCCGTCACGGGAGCTTTTTCTTTGCCGCTCGTACTCTGTACTCTGTAATCGGCGATCAACAGATTGCGACTTTTTGGCGCGCGTGCTACAATATATTGATCGACGCAATGCTGGCGGGAGAGCTGGGATGGAATGTAATACTCGCTATCAACCAGCTATTGTGCACATCCTTTTTGACAGCTCCGAAAACAATAAAGTCCCAGGACAGCGTGTGGATCTGCCCAGTTCTCGATTTGGCCAGCCTGGCCGTCTTGGCCGCGCCAGACCACAGTTGAGGCTTCGGTGGTTGGTCCGTGTGATGTCATTGTGGCTGCATTCTGCACAGGCTCTGACCTGGCAGGGCAATCACAGCAATTAACAATGTACATGCCAGTCGTCTCCCTTCTCTCTAATCCGTACTCCGTAAGGTTCATGTATTAAGACGACTCAGGCAACTGCACAATAACAGCGAGGGCGGCTCCAAGTCACTAGCGCTCGTTTCAGTTGGTTAGTCATGGACTCTGGGAGCACCTTGCTTTGCTTGTCAGTCAACAGTCCAGGTCTCGTGTCTTCTTCAGTTCTTCTTCGCAAATGGATCCCTAATCAAAGTGCATATCCACTCCGCCTTACTCTTTTGAGAGTCTTGGCCCCTTGAGCCCAGGGACCTCGATCCAGCCTAACTTATTCGAGGGCTACAGGGGGCTGAGGGGCTGAGGGGCTGATGGGCAAGGGGGAGAAACCCGCTGGTCACAGGTATTAATTTTGTCGCTACAGTGGAGAGTGGTTCGTCGGCCCTCCACTGACCGCATATGTATTTGCTCGGCCATCGTCTCATGTCTATTGGCATTTCAATATCAAGGATGAATGGATATTAGGGATCTGGCAAAATATGAGTTGACTCTAATAAAAGTTTCTAAAGTTACTGAGTAGGAAAGAAGAAAAGCACCCTATCTTTTTCTCTTTTTTTCTTGTCTTTTTTTTTTCCTTTGAAATTCGGTCGCGTATCAGGCTTGTCGCGAGGTTCGTCACCCCCTGTCTCAATCTAGATCAACAGCAAGCACCCTTGACGCCTTGCGGTGAGCTTGTTTCTCTCTTGCCACAAGTCCAACATTCTGCATGTCCCATTTGAAAATTTCCAGATGCGTGTGCACTTACAAGACACGCAACGGCCCCAATGTGATTTGCCGCATTGTCAGCTTTTCCATTTTCTCTGCCCTCGCAGGGCATGCGCAGTAGTCGAGGCCACCCAAGGACGCATTTCAATACAAAACAATAATCAGCATTGTGCAGGGCTACATGCGCTTTTATCTGGTTCACCTTTCCCCTGCGTGCACATCAGCGCCTCAGCAAGTGTCTTTGATTCGTTGTCATGGGATTTAAAGATGCACCATGTTTCGCTGATCCTCATCTCTAGATACCCCATACCCCAGCGACATGTCTCTCCAAAACAGCTGTCTACAACGCACCTGCAGTAGAGCCTTATTTTGCGCCCTGCATGTCTGATATGTTGTAATTGCACCAATTGCTCGCATGTTGGTCCCCCGAGCTTTCGTGCTTTTTTTCTTTTAATCTCAGCATCGTCGTGACACGAAAACTTGGGGGCAAGTATTTCCACTGCGCTCCCAATATCCTTGCAATCGCCGTTCCATTCCAAGTGTTGTCATCAGATTCGAGAATTATACGTAGAATCTTGTCATATCGCAATCGCCTACCTTGTCTCTGTCATGATCGTGCCCTGCTAGCGCCCGCTCTGCCCATGCAGCACTTCTAGCTGACAGTTAACCCTCGTCGCACAAAGCGGCTAATTGCCTATGCTTGTTGGTTCCTCGTCTGTCTGCCTACCGTCGAAATTCCCCCAGTCTTTCCAGTGCCGCTGTGAAACCCGGGTTCCATGTTTCCGATCTTCTTGGCCGTTTTGTCTGCCGGTTTCAAAATTTGAAGCTCCGGGGAGAGCAAGCAAGGGTGTCTCTTTTCAAACAAGTTTCATCGTTTCTATACTCTGGGCGGTATTTAGCCTTTTGTTGAAGAAAGTATCGGGAGGCCGCGATGACGGAGGTTTGAAAGGATTTTTTTCAGCTTTCACGGAAAGTGCATGATGAACGTTGCACGTTACGAAGCTACCAGGAAGTCATACACCGGCGAGGCCGCTATCCTGTAACCTGCGCAGTACGCTATCACATTTCGTAAACATTTTGACCAAAACGCAAATTACTCATTTGCATGAAACCGCTGCAGATTGGTGCCATGTGATCTGTAGATAGACGTGGAGAAAGTGCTGCCTGACGTCAGAAAGTGGCACGAAACACTCATGTCATGATGCGCCAGAGTTGCCTGTGTCCGCGGGTGGAATACGGCCGTTAACTAACCGGCCCTTTCTAAGTCATTTGGACTGATGCAAGAAACACTTGGCATTGCGTTTTTTTTTCTTTTTTTGCACACGCAGTCAATTCTGTTATCACTTTCTCATCACGATAGTGTCATGTGATGGCAGTTGGCGCTGGATCTTCGTCTTATGGTAAAGAAGCTGGCAAGCAGTAGCAATGACCATCCCGAGGCGTGTACTGTAACCTGGGATTAGTCACGATTCCCGTCACCAGCCTCCATGATTTTCTATAGAAATGCTGCGAGTCACATGCAGTCCGTCTTCTTGAATGTGTCAAGAATCGATACCAACAAAGGGGTACCGGGTAGCCGTCATGTCAGGAATCTGTAGCAGTGGTGAAACAGGCTCGACACGCGCCCACCTCAACGTTTCCTCCAGCCACACGAGACATGCACCGCAAAATCAAAATTCTGCCAGAGTCCCTGAATCGCGTGTTTCTCTATGTAGTCTCGCGTGACACCATCATCTTGGCGCAATTATTTCTGGACGTGTGCCGGACCATGTGGGTGCAAAGGCCGGACCGCCGCCCCGGATTACATCCACCACGCCGGGCCGGCCTGGCAACTCGGAGACTGTACTTTTTGCCCCGAGTCTCGGAGCGCAGGCCGAAAAGAAAGATATCGGAAATAGTTAGTAATTGCCCTCCCCCCCCACCTGACGTGTTGCTATTTTTGCTTCGCTGCCAATGACCGCTGTGCTTCATCACATCAGGCTTGCTTAGCCACACCGAGCCGCGTTGGCAGAATTTCCCCTGACATGGGTCCTTCCCCAAGCCGTCCGCTGCGAAGCAAAAACGGCACAACCAACAAAAAAACTTGTATTATTGGTTGGTTGTCGCATACTGGAACTGCCCGTTGAGAATTAGCTTAAGGATTCGTGTAACATTGCTAGCTTCCTCATCTCTCCGGGCTGAGATGCCAGGCCAGCGACGCGGCATGGTGTTTTATTTATATATCATTAAGCGAGCCTGATCATCTCGCTGCTTAGCCCGTG